GGTCCCAGTCTGGGTGGCCACGGACAGCTACAGAGGCTGCAGGTGTGTGTGTGTGTGTGTTGGGGGGGGCGTGAGCCCCCTGGCTCTGCCTGAGGACAGGAGCTCCATGCAGTAATCCTGGTGACCAGACATCCTGGTGCCCTGACCGCAGGCCTCGGAGGGGCCAGAGGGCCTGGAGACCCTCCGGGAAGGTACATCAGCGAGGCTTGGGCGGGCGGTGCGTGATGGGGGGGAGCCGGCGCTTCCCCGGCCTCGCTCCCCTTGGCTGTGGGTCTCAGGCTGGACCTTCCCCACCGCCACCACCTGCGGTGACGTTTCGTGCCGGATCCCGAGCCCAGACCGCGGGAGAGGACGGACCAGCCCCCCCCCCCCCCACCCATCCCGCCAGGGTGGGACCCCGGGGCCCAGGGTGCAGGCTGGCGGCCCAGGGTCCCGGCTGGCGGAGGGAGGCCGCCCGAGCCCTGCGGAGGGAGGGAGGGAGGGGGTGACACCCTACACCTGGGAGGGTCCCGGGGGAGGCTCCGGTGGCGCTGACGCAAGGCCCAGCCCGTCGCCAGGGCCCCGCCCGCCGCTCCAGGTGCCGGGAGACCTTGGCCTCCGGTGAGTCAGGGCGCGCGGCCCGGCCTCGGGTCTGGGCCTGGCGGCGGCTGCCGGGCCAAAGGGCGGGTGGGCCGGGCGCGGAGGCCCGAGCCTGGTCTGACCGGGACCGGAGGCCGCGGCCGGTGAGGGCGGGGCGGCTGGTCGGTGCGACCCGGGTGGGCGCTGCGGGGTCGGGCCCTGCGCGCACGTGGCCTGGAGGCTGGCGCGTCGGGTCGCGGTGGGGGGATCGCGCGGTGCCCGAGTGCGCGGCCGGGGGGGGGGGCGCGGGCGCGGGCGCGGCGGCCCTGGGTGGCTCCCGGGGGAGTCCGGTGGCGCCGGGAGCCGGGCGCGCTCTGCCCGGGCCGCTGGGAGGGGCGCCGGCCGGGCCTCCGGGACGCGGGGGGCGGGCGCCGGGCGCTGAGCCTTGACCCGCCCCGCTCGCGCCCCTCCCTGGCGCGGGTTTGGGGAACAGCCCGGCCGAGGTGCGGGGCCGGGTTGTGTCCGCCGATTTGCTGCGCGCGGCCGCTAATCGCAGATTTGCATTCGCGACCCGGTCCCCAGGCCGCCAGCTGCCGGTGAGGCGGGGGCGGGGAGGGGCGGCCCCGCCTGCTCTGGGCCCGGTGGGGGGAGGGGAGGTGCCTGCGGCCACTCGCCTTGGGTGCCCTCTCTGTCACCCCCCCTGCAGGTCCCGGGTGCCCTCCGCAGGGCTGGGACCCCCCCCCCCCCCCCCACACACACACACACAGGCTGGGCTGCCCTACCTGGTGAGCCTTCACCTGTCTGCCCAGGCCCTGCCCACGTCCATCCCCATCTTGGTCTCTGGGTGTGTCTGCCGGACCCTCCTTCGTGGCTACTTTCCATTGTTTTGATTTTTGTTGTTGTTGTTACTCTTCACCCGAGGTAATGTTCCCATTGATTTCAGAGAGAGTGGTTGAGAGGGAAAGACAGAAACAGGATGTGAGAGAGACGCATTGATTGGTTGTCTTGTGCACACGCCCTGACCAGGGCCAGGGGGAAACCTGCAACCGAGGTACCTGCCCTTGACCGGAATCGAACCCGGGGCCCTTCGGTCCACAGGCTGGTGCTCTACCCACTGAGCCACACCGGTGAGGGCTCTGCTGTTTCGATTTTAAGAAATTGCTCCGACTGTGTTTGCGCGAAAATAGTGGAAAGAACCCCTGACTGTCCCCACACCTCAGTGTCCGACTCCAGGTGGGGTGTGCGGAGACCTGGGGCCGGACAGCCCTCGGCGGTCCTGGGCCCCTCCTGTTTCCCTCTGCCGGTTGGATGGGGGCAGCACCACCTATCCCAGGGCCTGGCAGCTGCGGGTTAGGGTTAGAGGCGATGGAACCGGGAGGGAGCCCAGGGGCCGATGGCAAGGGGCTCGAGCTGCTCCCACAGGGTCCGCCGTGCGGAGGAGGGGCCGCGACTCCCTGGGCATCGCTGTCCCTCTGGTGCTCTGGCTGGAGGAGGAGACACGACTGTGTGTGAGGCTTGGGGACCAGCTGCAGGGGCACAGGTGCTTTTGGCCCCTCCTCTGTCACCCCCTCCTGGGTTTGTTGGGCTCAGACCCACCAGTGTCCCCCTGGCCCTCTCCTGTGTTCACCTTGCTCTCAGAGGGCCTGTCGGCGAAGACCGTCCACCGTAGAGGATGAGTGTCCCGGGGCTCTGGGGGATGAGTAGGAGTTTTCCGGGGGGGGGGGGGGGGTCCAGCAAAAGCAGAGACATGGTGACATCATGAGTACGGCCCCCACTGCAGGCCAGCCATGAGGATTCCCACCCGGGGGTTCACTCACCCCGCAGGGCAGCTCACCGAGGTCCATGCCCTTACTCCCCGTGTTACACGTGGGAAGCGGAGGCAGGGTGTCGCTTTGTGAATAGCCCGGGAACCAGGGAGGAAATGACAGAGCCCAGTCAGAGCTCAGGGTTAAGCACCGGACTTCTGAAGGTTGATTCCCAGTCCGGGCACAGGCCTGGGTTGGGGGCGGATCCCCAGTAGGGGGCGTGCAGGAGGCAGCTGGTCAGTGGTTCTCTCTCATCACTGATGTTTCTATCTCTCCCTCTCCCTTCTTCTCTGAAATCAATGAAAATATATTTTTTAAAAAGAAAGACAATGACAGCCGGGGTTTGTCGGGCTCTTCGAGGCCCCTCTGCGCCGGTCGGTGTGCGCTGGGCGGTGAGCGGCCGGCTGTGGCCTCAGGCTCTGGGCACTCAGGGAGCCGCCTTCTCCTGAGGATGATGAGTGGCCCTTTGAGAGCTGGGTTCGCAGGCTGGCTTGTGAGGGTGGGGGGAGGGGGAGACGCGGGGCCGGCAGGGGTGATTGGAGCAGAGGCTCCTCGAGTTCAGAGAGGCCCTGGGACTTGGTGGCGGAGGAAGGAGAGGGTTCCAGTCTGTCGGGAGGAGACATCCAGGCCAGGGGCTGCCTCTGGGAGCATCTGAGACGGAGGCCCAGCCTGGTCAGGTCCCCGTCGGGGTGGCTGTGGGGGTGGGGGTGGGGGCATGGGCCAGTGGAGGGCCGGAGACTTGGGAGCCCGCCATGGTCCGGTGCGGGGGCTGGAGGAGGCGGAGAGCAGGCGGAGGCGCAGGTGTGTGCTGTGCCCCGGGCTGGGTCTCGCTTTCTCATGAGGCGGTTTGACCCCTGAGCCAGTGGCGTGACCTTCGCTCCCTTCACAAAGGCTGCCTTGAGTGGGGCACCTCTCAGCCCCTCTCCTGGGGTCCCTCCTGGGTCCCTCCGTCCAGGTTAAGCTTTTCCCGCTCGGCCAAGGGCTGAGGACACCGAAGGGAAGTGCTGCTGCCCCTGTGCCCGCCTCCTGCCCTCCTGGTTCCCCTTGGGCCACACAGGTCCAGGCCTGGGTCCTGCCCAGAGTGTGGGTGGAGGGTGACCATTTTGGGGAGTGTGCTGCACAGGCTGGTGGAGCAGGGGTGGGGGCCGGGGGTAAGGGGAGTGGGGAAGTGGGGGGCTGACGCCGGTGGAGGAGTTGTGGGGGCACCATACAGGGCTCAGTGGCTGAGCCTGGATGTGGGGGGTTGGGGTAGGCCGGGAGGGATTGAGGAGGGGGAGTCCTTGAGGCTGAGGGGAGCTGAAGGGAATGGGGGGGTGATCATTATTATGCACTCTCTTTAGTCAAGTAATGCATGAATATATTCTTTCTTTTTTTTAACTTCTCACCCAAGGAAATGTTGTTATTGATTGTCAGAGAGAGGAAGGGAGAGAAAGAGGGAGAGAGAAACATTGATGTGAGAGGAACATCGATTGGTTGCCTCCTGTATGGGCCCCAACTGGGAATCGAACCCGCAACCTTTTGGTGCAAGGGACAGCGCTGCAACAAACCGAGACACCCGGCCAGGGCGGAATGAATCCAGTATAAGTTTTTCACAAATGCAGTTGCTTTGCTGTCCAGCCCCGCCTGCCTGCCCCCAGGCCTCACTGTTTTCAGTTTGGAGGAAGCTTCTAGACCAGCTCAGCGAGGAGACCCTTGTGTGCCCACACACACCCTGGAGACACCCAGAGTCCCAGCCACAGCCACCGGGGCTCCACGGGGTCGCACGGACCGCCCGCCTGCGTGGGTCCTGTGGCTGCTCAGGGCTCTGGTGGGAGGCTGGGCGGTGGCCAGATTCTCGCTCTAATGAACCATCTGAGAAGTCGCCCTGGCCGGGCCCGCCCGCGGGCGCACGTGGGCACCTCCCCAGCAGCGGATACTGTAGCCAGCCGCGCCGAGGGCTACAGTGTAACAAGTCTCCTGGGGCTTTTTCTGAATGAACCTCAGTCCTTACAAACCCCGAGAGGAGCTCAGGGCGACGTCTCCCTTTCACAGGTGGGGAGTGAGGCCCAGAGAAGCTAAGTGATCTGCCCAAGGCCGCACAGCTCCTGAGTAGCATCGCAGGGTCATGGGTGTGCACATTTCTTCAAAGCAATTTTTATTTTATTACTTAAACCTGTTCCTTTAAACCTATTTTACCCACCCGAGGATATTGCCCGTTGGTTTTTGTTTGCTTGTTTGTGTTTTTTTCAGAGAGAGGAAGGGAGGGAGAAACGTTGGTTGCCTCCCAGGCACACCCCACGGGGAGTCGAACCTGCCGCCTTTCGGTGTACGGGGCGATGCTCCAACCGGCTGAGCCGCCCAGAGACTCGTAAGGATGAGACGTGGTTCCTCCCCTTTTCGTCTTTTTCCTTTTTTTGAGCAGAGGAGAGAGTATCAGGCTGGTCTTGTGGAAGGACCAAGTGTGTGCCCCCCAATGGGGTGCTGGGCTAGGGGCATGGAGGGGGTGAAGGAGGTCTGGGGTCTCCTGCTCAGGATGGCAGAGGCCACCAATGGGGTCCCCTGGACTGCTCCCCACCCCCAGACATGGAGCAGAGGAGACAGGTGGAGGAGGCCAGCCTGTGGTGAGACCACCGTCTCTCTCTCTCCTTTGCTTCCTAGCGAATCTTGATGCCAGCCGGGAGCAGTGACTGAGCTGGACCACTGGAGCCTGGGTGAGTGGGGCCTGGCCCCCGTGGGAAGGCATGGGGGTACCTCCTCGCAGCGGGGCCGGAGGGTCCCTCCCAGGCTGTGTGAGGCCTGGTCCTGCCGGGACCTGTGTGTACATGTCTGCTCACGTGTCTTGCCCTTGGAGACCACTGCCAGGTCCTGGCTCCTGAGTCAGGTTTTGCTTGGTGTGTTGGGGGGGGCGGGGGGGCGGGGGGGCGGGCAGGGAGACTGGCGGTGTTTGGGCTGGTGGGAAGGGGCGCTGTCCAGACCCTTCCCGGGCCCATGGCAAAGGCTGGAGTGTGTGTGACTTCTTGGAAGTGCACCTCCGGCCTCCGGCCAGGAAAGCCGCCTGGTGCCCCGAGGAAATCCCCGCGGCCAGCTTCCCGGTAGGCAGGGCCAGCGGGGGTCTGGGCCACCTTCAAAACAGGAAGCGCCCGTTCCAGGAACTCCCGAGGCAGGAAGACCGCTGGCCGTGCCTGGCACTTCCCGCACTGGCCTGCCTTGAGCCCAGCCGGCCTCTGGTCAGGTGGGTCGGTCACCCTTTGCTCCTGGGCCTGACCAGGCCGGTCACCTGAGGCTTTGTTTGCTCAGGAAGTGCAGGGGAGCTGCTGCCTGTGGAGGGTGACCCAGTCCCTCCTGCCAGCCTGACCGGCAGGGCTCAGCCTGGGCTCAGCACGGGGGGGTTCGAGCCTCACTCTGCCCTCCTGCCTGAAACCCAGAAGGGTCCTGGGGCAGGGAGCCCGGTTTGGCCCTGGCCGGCTCTCCCAGGGCCGGCGGGGCAGTGGCTGGGTGTCTGCGCCAGGTCCTGGACCACACAGGAGGGACTCACTGAGCATTAGGTTGGCCGGCCCTGGGGCCTGGGCTAGAGGACCAGGCTGGGCTCTCCCCCTGGGGGCCCAAGGGGACTCGGTCAAGTGGACATTAACCACGGAAAGCCCACAGCATTCTTTTCCTGCACCGGGACCACAGGTGGGAGCTGGCAGGGTTGAGGGAGGGTTCAGGGTCAGAACTGAGAGGTGTTTCAGAAGGGGGAGTTCCCCCAGCATTTCCCCACTCGGTTGGCTCTGGGTTCAAATCCCGGCCGGGCACTTCAGACGGGCAGGGGGCCTGGGCACGGGTCCATGGGACTGGACTGCTGGAGTGCCTGGGTTCCCGCAGCTCCGGCTCCGCCCCACCCCCGCCCCGCCCCCGCCCCACCGCCCGAGTTCCCTCCCAGCCGGGTAACATTCCATTCATTCCCGGCTCAGCCAGCAGCCAAGCAGGCAGCTTAGCCGCAGCCTCTGGGGCTCTGGCTGGCTCTCGGCTCTGCTCTTTCGGCTCTGCTCTCTCGGGTGAGTGGGGCCGGGCAGGGAGGGCCAGCCCAGTCCTGAGGCTGAGGGGCCGGGTCAGGCCGGGCAGGGAGGGCCAGCCCAGTGCTGAGGCTGAGGGGCCGGGTCAGGCCGGCCAGGGAGGGCCAGCCCAGTGCTGAGGCTGAGGGGCCGGGTCAGGCCGGCCAGGGAGGGCCAGCCCAGTCCTGAGGCTGAGGGGCCGGGTCAGCCACTCGGTGCACAGCGTGGACTTTGGACGCAGGGGGCCGGGGGAAAGGGGCCGGGGGAGGGGCCCGAGGGAGGGGGCCGGGGGCGGTGAGCTGCCATTCAGGCCCTTTCCTTACCCGGAGGACACACAGGAGTGACTGCTGGCTGGTGCCCGGGACTTAAGGCCTCTCCTGGGGCGCCCAGACACCCGCATCTGGGGGTCTCCCCAACTGTGCCGTCAGCCCCTCTGGACAGGCAGCCGAGCCTAGAGAGCAGTCTGTGTGGGGGGGTCCTGCCACACAGTCCGCAGGGGCTTGTGGAATCTTCCTGACTCTGACCAAGCCCCCTCTCCTCCCCCGGCTCCTCCTCTCACGGCCTCCGTGACCTCTTCCTGCCCAGCCTCCTGCCCCCAGGCAGCCAAGGGCTCCTTCCCAGGGCCCTGCTGGGTCCCCTCCCTCCTGGACACCCTAGCCTGGGTACCTCTCCTCTTCCCCTGGCTGGGCAAGAACTGGGCTCCCCAGGGCACAGTGCGGGGGGGATCCTGGGCAGAGGCAGGAGCTGCCGGTGGAGGGGGCTTCCTAGCGGCCCAAGCAACGAAGGCGCTGCCTGGACGTGAGCCCCACAGGGTCCACGGGAAAAGCCAGCCCATCCCCGTAAGCACAGCTTTGCCCAGGGCCCCTGCCCCAGAGAGCCCTCTCCCCTACTGCTTTTCCGGACCCGGTGGGCATAGGCCCGCGGACGGGGCGACTGAGGGGACTAGAAAAGCAGGTGTTTCTTGAGGAATAAGAGTATCTAGGGAGGCGATTGTTGGCTGAGGTGGCTGCAAAGGGTGTGCCAGCTACTCTGGAGGTGAGGGAGCCTGGGAGACGGGGCCTGGGTCCCTCGACCGTCCCCCGGGGCCGGGCCCCACTCAGGCACTTGGCATGGGCAGGGCTGCGTAGGCGTCACGTCCGGTACAGGTGCCATCGGGGAAGGTTGTAGCCAGTCCAGGGATGGGCTCATGCCCGCACCAGGAAAGGGTTGCCTGTGGGGTGGCAGTGGGAGCTGGTGGGGGTTCTGACCAGGATGGAGGGTGGTCCGAGGGTGAGGGGGCACGGGCTACCTCCAGGTGGCCAAGGCCTGAGGCCGGATGGCTCTGCCTGACTTGGGAGAGAACCGTGTGTGTTCTTCCTCAAGGACCACTGTGGGGCCTTGGACCCGTCCTCTGATTGGGGACCTTGAGCCCAGCCTCGCGCCCGTGGACGCCTGTGTGGACCTGCATACGTGCAGGGCCGTGCGCTCAGATGGACACCTGCACGCAGACACGGCCCGCCCCGGCCCTGGAGAGGTGCCCCCACCTCGGACTCCGGGGTCTCCCAGCTCAGATTCGGGCAGCGCCCAGTGGACCCTCTGCTGGTTCAAGGGAGGGGGGCGGGCTGGAGGGGGCAGGGAGGCAGGGCCAGGCTGCACTGGCGGCTCTGGGGGCCCAGAAGCAGCGAGAGCCCAGCTCCCTGCAGGGGCAGCTTTGGCTTCCTGTGCTTCCTGTCAGGTGGCACCGTGTGCCAGGCAGGTATGTGGGTCACCTGGTGGCTCTTTCTTTTAGGTTTTTAATGGTTTTAGCCCTGGCCAGGTGGCTATCTGGCTGGAGCGTTTTCCCATGGACCAGAGGGTTGTGGGTTCGATTCCTGGTCAGAGCACATACCTGGGTTGTGGGTTTCATCCCCAGACGATGTTTCTCTCTCTCCCCCTGCCCCCCTTCCTCTTTCTCGAAAAATCAATCAATCAAAACATATCCTCGGGTGAGGATTTAAAAAAAGAAGTTGTTATTGTTTTGGTGGGGTTTTTTTTGGAGAGAGAGAGAAAGGGAGAGATAGAAACATCTATGAGAGAGAAACATTATCAATCGGCTGCCTCCTGCATGCATCCTACTGGAGACCAAATCGTAACCCAGAAATTGAACTGTGACCTCCTGGTTCATAGGTCGACGCTTAACCACTGAGCGTTGGCCGGGCTGGTCCACCTGTTCGCATGTCGGGGGCTGTTGGTCAGCCTGGCCCTCGGATAGGCCTGCCCGTGGGCTCTGGGAGGCTCGGAGGAGGTGCTCTGTGCCTCGGAGGTGGGCCTGCAGGTGCTTTGAGGCCAGGAGGTGGAGGGCAGGGTGCAGTCCTGGGGCGGCCACACCCAGGCCTGCCCCCTGCAGCTGAGGTGGCCAGGCCCTGGTCATAGGTTAGACTGCCGGGTGCACAGCTCGTGAAGGGCTGGGCGGAGATTTCCTTGGAGATGAGAGTGGGTGTGTCTGTCTGCCACCCGGAAGGTGGGGAAGGGCTGGACACTCAGGACACATGGGCAGCCATGCCCCCTCCTGCCCGCCCCCCCCTACCCACCCCGGCTGTGTACTGGTATTCGGTCAGGGTCCAGCATGGAGGGGGGCTGGGTTGACCTTTGAAGGAGGACTTCCTACGTGTGGACAGATCCTCCCGGGAGGCCCCCTCCTGCACGCCCCCTACTGGGGCTCAAGCCCATAACCCGGGCATGTGCCCCATCTGGGAACCGAACCATGACCTCCCGGGTACCCTCGGGGGCCGCCCTGACTCTCCTCTCTTCTCACAGGGGCCCCGGGGCGATGGCTCTGCAGCTCTGGGCCCTGACCCTCCTGGGCCTGCTGGGCACGGGCTCGGGGCTGCGGCCCCGGAAGCTGGACTCCTTCCAAAGCAAGACGGAGCTGAACCACCTGGTGGTGGATGAGGCGTCGGGCGTGGTGTACGTCGGGGCGGTGAACGCGCTCTACCAGCTGAGCGCCGACCTGCAGCTGGAGCAGAAGGTGGACACGGGCCCGGCCCTGGACAACAAGAAGTGCACGCCGCCCATCGAGATCAGCCAGTGCCACGAGGCCGTGCCCACCGACAACGTCAACCAGCTGCTGCTGCTGGACCCGCCGGGCCGGCGCCTGGTGGAGTGCGGCAGCCTCTTCAAGGGCATCTGCGCCCTGCGCGCCCTCAGCAACATCTCCACGCGCCTCTTCTACGAGGACAGCAGCGGCGAGCGGTCCTTCGTGGCCAGCAACGACGAGAGCGTGGCCACCGTGGGGCTGGTGAGCGCCACCGACCCGGGCGGCGAGCAGCGCATGCTGTTCGTGGGCAAAGGCAACGGCCCGTACGACAACGGCGTCATCGTGAGCACCCGGCTGCTGGACCGCGTGGCGGGCAGGGAGGCCTTCGAGGCCTACACGGACCACGCCACCTACAAGGCCGGCTACCTGTCCACCAACACGCAGGAGTTCGTGGCGGCCTTCGAGGACAGCCTCTACGTCTTCTTCGTCTTCAACCAGCAGGACAAGCACCCGCTGCGCAGCCGCACGCTGCTGGCCCGCATGTGCAAGCAGGACCCCTACTACTACTCCTACCTGGAGATGGAGCTGCAGTGCCTGGACCCCGGGGACCCGCCCACCCCCTTCAGCACCTGCCTGGCCGCCTCCGCCGCCACCTCGGGCGCCGGCAAGGTGCTCTACACCGTCTTCACCAGAGAGGACCGGGCAGGCGGGGGGCCCCGGGCCGGCCTCTGCCTGTTCCCGCTGGACGAGATCCACGAGAAGATAAAGGAGATCCGCAACGCCTGCTACATGGGCGACCCGCAGAGCAGCCCGGACGACTTCTACAAGCCCTTCCACGGCGAGATCCAGTGTGGCGGCCAGGGCCTGGTACGGACGTGGCCTCCGCAGGGTGCCCCCCGGGCTCGAGCCCCAGGCGTCCACGTGGGCCTGTGCGCTGCTGCCATGTGCTGGCTGGCGTGTCCAAGCCCTCCCCTGCTTGGGAGGGGGCCGTGAGAGTGCACACGCGTGTGCTGTCTCTGCAGCCGGCGGCAGGTGTGCCCGCACAGGTGTGGTGGCACCGTCAGGGCCAGGCCCGTGCACCATCCAGCAGTGAGCATGCAGTTGGGGTCCCTGCCTGCACAGTCCTTGTTCTCGGGACGTGTGTGGGGCCACCAAGTGCTGGGGGCCCCTGTGGGGAGAGGCCTCCTCAGGTCGGGTGTGTCTGGACCCACCATTGACGCCGTCGTCCGCAGGGTGCCGGCGAGAGCTTCCTGTGTGGCTCGGAGCACCTGCCCTACCCCCTGGGCAGCCGCAAGGGACTCGTCGCCACGGCCGTGCTGCAGCGCGGAGGCCTGAACCTGACGGCCGTGACCGTGGCCACCGAGAACGGCCACACCATTGCCTTCCTGGGCACCTCCGACGGCCAGGTCCTCAAGGTGAAGCCTGGGGCAGGGGCAGGGGCAGGGGCAGGCGGGGCTGGAGGGCCGTCTCCGAGGGAACAGCACCCTCACGCACCTGCCTGCTGCCGCAGGCGTACCTGGCCCCCGACGGCAGCTCCGTGGAGTACGGCTCCATCCTGGTGGAGATCAACAAGAGGGTCAAGCAGGACCTGGTGCTGTCCGCTGACCAGGCCAGTTTGTACGCCATGACCCAGGACAAGGTAGGCCTGCGGAGGCCCCGGGAGGGCCTGGTGGCCGGAGCGCTGTCCCAGGCCTGGAGGGTGCAGGCGAGGACCGGAGGGGCCGCCCTCTCCTCGGGCTCCTGGCAGAGTCCTGCCCCTGTCTCCAGCGCCTTCCCTGTCTGCCGCTCCGCTCCCACATGTCCTGTCTCTGGTCCTGTCGCGGACCCTTCCTGGAGGGAGGGATGGGACTGCTCTGAGGGGCTTCCCCCGGGGTGGACGGGCATGAAGGGGCCTGTGCAGCTCCGTGAGCTTGGGCAGCGAGGGGACAGCATAGGCCCTGCCTTATCAGGGGGCTGGGGTAGGAGCCCCTCCAGCCGGCCTCTGGAGCCCTGGGGCATCCAAGGGCCTCTCCCAGGGGGTGGGGTCAAGGGGCCTGGGCCGGCACCGGGGAGGCAGGACCCTGGACCCATGGTTTCCTGGGACCATGCACCGTGGGTCCTGGGCGGGTGCAGCCACAGGGCCAGGGCCTCACAGAGCCCGTGTACCTCTCCGCTGCCTGGAGCCCATGTTGGGCAGCCTTGAGTTGGCATCTGAGACTTTTTTTTCTTAAATATATATTTTGTTGATTTTTTACAGAGAGGAAGGGAGAGGGATAGAGAGTTAGAAATATCGATGAGAGAGAAACATCGATCAGCTGCCTCCTGCACACCCCCCACTGGGGATGTGCCCACAACCAAGGTACATGCCCTTGGCCGGAACCGAACCCGGGACCCTTTAGTCCGCAGGCCGATGCTCTATTCACTGAGCCAAACTGTCCAGGGCTAAATATTTTTATTGATTTCAGAGAGGAAGGGAGAGGGAGAGAGAGAGAGAGAAACATCAAAGATGAGAATCACTGATCGGCTGCCTCCTGCACACCCCCTACTGGGGGTGGAGCTCGCAATCCGGGCATATGCCCTGACTGGGAATCGAACCGTGACCTCCTGGTTCATAGGTCAATGGTTCACAGGCCAGCCAGGTGGCATCTGAGTCGTCTTAAGGCTCAGAGATACAGGTGGGATCCAGCTAGCAGCCCCAGGAAACTCGGGCCCGAGGGGGTCCTGGTGGCCGCCCCCTGCTCACCGCCCGCTGCCCCCAGGCGTTCCGGCTTCCTGTGCAGGAGTGCTCGAGCTCCCTCAGCTGCATACAGTGTCTCGGCTCCCGGGACCCCTACTGCGGCTGGTGCATCGTCAAGGGGCGGTGAGTCCCTGGGGTCGGGATCTCGGCTCACCCTGGAGCCCGGGGGCGGCAGTCCCACCCGGGGGCTGACAAGTGCCAGGGCTGAGGCTGCTCCGTCCCTGCAGATGCAGCCGGAGGGCTGAGTGCCCACGGGCCGAGGAGAGCGGACACTGGCTGTGGAGCCGCGGGGAGTCCTGTGTGACCATCACGGGGGCCCAGCCCCAGAACATGAGCCGGCGGGCCCAGGGGGAGGTGCGTGGCCGGCGGGGGCACCAGGGCAGGAGATCTCACAGCACCTCCATCCCGCCTGGGCCTTGGGGCTGAGTCTGAGGCGGGCAGCCCCGGCCCCTGTGGTCTGGTGGCTCCTGTGTCCCAGGCGGTGGGGTTGGCGAGTCAGGTTCCTGTGTCTTCTGTGCACGTGCAGGGGAGTGAATCTCAGGGCAGGTGCTTTGGGGTGGGGGTCTCCTCACTGAGTCCAGCCCTGGGCCCCCGCCCTCCAGGCTGGTTCTCCCACCCCCAAGGCTGGTCCTCCCAACCCCAAGGCTGGTCCCCCACTCCCAAGGCTGGTCCCCCCGCCCCCAAGGCTGGGCAGAGGGGTCCATGTGAGCTGCGTGGCCTCCCCCAGGTGCAGCTGACCGTCAGCCCGCTCCCGGCCCTGGGCGAGGACAAGCTGCTGTGCCTCTTCGGGGACTCTCCGGCACACCCTGCCCGCGTGGAGGGGGACGCCGTGGTGTGCAACTCCCCGAGCAACATCCCCAGCACGCCGTCCGGCCAGGGTGAGGCCCAAACTCCAGGCCCGGGCCTTCTCCCTCCCTCCCTCCCTCTACACAGTGGGGTCCTTCCTGTGACCGGGTCCCAGGGGTGTGGGCTGAGGTGGAGGAGGGGCAGGTGGCCCCTGCCAGGGTGCGGCAGGGCAGAGGCTGGGGCGGTTGGGGTTCTGGGCGCCAGAGCCTTGCCGGCTGCGCTCCGTGCCGTGAGCGAGGGAGCTCCTGGGCCCTTCCAGGCACTTCTGTCCCTTCTCCGCGCCACCTGGTGCCAGGCCCTGGGCGCTGGCATCTGTGCAGAACCCCTCCCCCACCCCGTGCAGCTTGACGCGGGTGGGGCTGTCCCCAGGGGCCGGGCTGTGAAAGTGGGCCAGGGCAGGAGCCAAGCCTTTGTGCCCTGAGCATTCAGGCCAGTGGAGGGCAGCTGCCTGGCTCGGTGGGACCACACGGTGACGTGCAGGGGCCTGGCAGGCGCTCTGCCCCAGACGCCCAGGAACCCTCAGGGACGGGGCCTGGCAGGCGCTCTGCCCCAGACGCCCAGGAACCCTCAGGGACGGGGGCTGGCTGCACGGAGCCCTGGGAGCCGACACTCGAGCCGAGATCTGAGGGCGGCGCCGGGCGCGCGGAGGCTGAGTGCACCAGGGGACGCCCTGCCAGGCCCCCCACGCCAGGGCTCCCACACGGGCTGTCTGTGCTCGGTGGCCCGTTGGGAGCTGTGATGGCGCAAGAACTCGGCCGGCAAGGCCCGGTCCAGGCGATCCTGTCCCCCACCTCTGCCCCGTGCTCTGCGGCCCCGCCTGACGCCATCCCCGTCTGCCATCTGCAGACCATGTGGCCGTGGAGATCCAGCTCAGGTTCACGCACAGCGATGTCTTCCTCACCTCCCACCAGTACCCCTTCTACGACTGCAGCGAGGCCATGAAACTGGAGAAGAATCTGCCGTGAGTGTCACCCCGCCCTCCCCCAGCTCCTCCAGCCCCGCCCCTGGCTCCACCCCCTCCCCCTGCTGCGGTGCCCACACCCTCGCCAACCTCTCTCCCAGGTGCATCTCCTGTGCCAGCAACCGCTGGACCTGCCAGTGGGACATGCGCTACCATGAGTGTCGGGAGGCCTCGCCCAACCCTGGGGACGGCGTTGTGCCCGCTCACATGGTGAGGGCCGTGGGCCCTGGGGGGGTGGCTGCTCGTCCCAGGCCGCACACGTGGCCTGACTGGCCGTACTCTGCAGGAGGACAGCTGCCCCCAGTTCCTGAGCCCCAGCCCGCTGGTCATCCCCATGAGCTACGAGACAGATGTGACCTTCCAGGGCGAGAACCTGGACACAGTGAAGGTGGGCTTGTGAGGCACTGCCCTGGGGAGCGGGCTGACCAGGCAGAGAGGCCTGTGCCCAGCGGCCCTGGTGGCTGGCGTGTCCGTGGGGCCGGCTCAGAGCCGCCCTGCTGATGGGAAGGGGCACCGGGCACCCGCCTGCCTCCTCTCCTGCAGGCCTCTGGCTCAGGGCCCCCACAGGGGGTAGCTGCTCAGCGAACAGTGCGGGGACAGAAGGAGGCAGGCGGGTCTGTCGAGGGGCTGGGCAGGGGCTGCCACCTAGTGAGGGAGCAGAGCGATTTGCTCAGGCTTGGGCCGGGGCGGGGGGCGGGGGTCCAGGAGTGGCCGAGTGGTCGGCTGGAACGGGAGGACCTCTGCTGGCCAGAAGGCGTGGGACTCGGACAGAGCCCCGTCCCCGGGAGCGTGGGTTGGGCGGGGAGGCGGGGAGGGCTGGTGGGTGCAGGGTCCTGACCGAGGGCCTTGCAGGTCTCCTCCCTGCACGTGGGCAGTGACCTCCCCAAGTTCGAGGTGACAGTGAACACGCGGGAGCCAGGAACCTTCCACTTTCGGACCCCGAAGGTACAGCCCCCAGGGCGGGCCAGGCCAGCGGGGGCCTCGCTGCCTCCGGGGGGAGGAGGCAGGGTTGTGGGCCAGGCGGCGTGCTCACCTGTGTCTCTCAGACCCCAGCCCCTCCACTGCTGCCCCTCTGCTTGAGGGGACCCCATGGGCCTTGGTGGGCACAGTGGTCGCCGTCTAGGGCTGGGGGGGGTCAGAGTGCAGTGTGTCCCTGCGTGTTCCTCCAGCTGTCCCACGACGAGAGCGAAACGCTGCCCCTGCACCTGTACGTCAAGTCCTACGGCAAATACATTGACAGCAAGCTCCAAGGTTTGGCGGGGCCTGAGGTCTGGTGGGCGGGGCCTGGGGTCTGGTGGGCGGGGCCTGGGGTCTGGTGGGCGGGGCCTGGGGTCTGGTGGGCGGCTGGGCTGGGGCCCGAGGACAAGGGGTGGGGTGGGGCCGGGCAGGCCTGTGGGCTGGGTGGGGAGGTGGGCCTGGCGGGGCAGGGACGGGGCGGGTGGCCCTGCTGATAGCTGGCTGCTCCCTCCGCAGTGACCCTCTATAACTGCTCCTTCGGCCGCAGCGACTGCAGCCTGTGCCTGGCCGCCGACCCCGCCTACAAGTGCGTGTGGTGCGGCGGGCAGGGCAGGTGCGTGTACGAGGCGCTCTGCAGCAACGCCACCTCCGAGTGCCCGCCGCCCGTCATCACCGAGGTGGGTCCCCCGGGGCCGGGGCTACCGGCGGGAGGGGAGGGACCCCACCTGAGCCCAGCCTGCCCAAGCTGCTGAGTCGCCGGCTCTGCTGATTTCAGATCCAGCCGGAGACCGGCCCCCTGGGCGGCGGCATTCGAGTCACGATCCTCGGGTCGAATTTGGGGGTCAGGGCGGACGACGTCAAGAGCGTCACCGTGGCCGGCAAGAACTGCGCCTTTGAGCCGGAACGGTATTCCGTGTCCACCAGGTGAGTGGACAGCCGGTGGCCTGGCTCCATGGGCCAGGTCAGTCCCCACCGGGGGGGCCGGGGCAGATGAGGAAGAGGGACATGGGCTGTGGGTGCCCAGGACTCCCCACCTGACGTGCTAGTCAGGAAGGGTCTGGGGTGAGCCTTGAGAGTGACCCCACCCTGCCTGTTGGCCCCCAGGATCGTGTGTGCCATTGAGGCCACGGAGGCGCCCTTCACGGGGGGCGTGGAGGTGGACATCAATGGGAAGCATGGCCGCTCTCCACCCCACGTCCAGTTCACCTACCAGGTGAGTGCCTGGCTCTCCTGCCCAGGTCAGGACGGACCGGGCGGGTCTGGCCACTGCTGCTGACTCCTGGATGGTTGGGGGCTGCGCCCCTTCAACGACAGTCAGGATGGAGGGGTGGGGAGGACTGCCGCTCAGCCCTGACCTGAACACACCCACCTCTCTCCTAGGAGCCCCAACCCCTCAGCGTGGAGCCAAGGGAGGGGCCGCAGGCAGGCGGCACCACGCTGACCATCAACGGCACCAACCTGGACACGGGCTCTAAGGAAGACGTGCGCGTGACCATTGGTGGCGTCCCTTGCAATGTGTGGGTGTCGCCTTCGGGGCCCCCGAGCTCTGGTCCGCCCTGGCCCTTGGGACCCTGCATGTGTCCTGGAGGGAGCGGTGCCGTGGGCCTGACCCCTGGGCCCTTGCCCCCTAGCCCCCTGGCCCCCTTGCCCAGGGCTGGAGTTGGTCTCGGGGTGGGGTTGACACTAACAACGTTCACCTCCAGGACGCAGTTTGGGGCGCAGCTCCAGTGTGTCACGGGCCCCCAGGCAGCCCCGGGGCAGCTGTCCTTGGAGATCTACTACGGGGGCTCCCTGGTGCCCAGCTCCGGAATCACCTTCACCTACCGCGAGAACCCCGTGCTGCGGGCCTTTGAGCCCCTGCGAAGCTTTGCCAGGTGTGGCCTCTGCCCTGCCCACCGCTCTCCAGGGCTCCCCATGCCACCCCCACCCCCAGCTACTTTCCCAGTCCCCTACGCCCACTGCCTGGTGAGGATGTGGGAGGGCTGGTCCGGGTGGCAGGAGGAGGGTTCCGTAAAAACCCCACTGCACCCCTAGATCCACTCCCTCCTAGAAAGCCTGACAGGCGGGCCCCAGAGCCCCCTAGCCCAGAGACACTCAAGGATGGCGGGACTCACAGTCACAGTGCTCTGAGCACACCCCAATATACAGTAGGCACAGGCTCACGGGGACCCGTGTGTGCCCCCAAAACCAGTTTGGGGCCGGGGATTTCAACCCCACCTTCCTTAAGCCCACCACATGGCCGGCATGGGGGTGGGGGTCCGGCTTCACAGGGCGCCTGCTCTGGAGCTGGCTGGGTGCCTCCCTTGCCCAGCTGTGCCCACTCAGGCACCCCCCACCCCCAGTGGCGGCCGCAGCATCAACGTGACGGGGCAGGGCTTCGGCCTGATCCAGAACTTCTCCATGGTGGTCATCGCGGAGCCTCTGCAGCCCTGGCGGCGCCGGCGGGAGGCCGGACCCCTGCCGCCCCACACGGTCAGTCCTGCTGCCGCCGGGGCTCAGGGCCCCCGCTGGACCCGGGACCGGCTGGGGAGGGAGGGGCCTGTGCCCCGTGTCCTGACAGACAGCCCTTGACCTGCAGATCGTGGGCACAGAGTACACGCGCTACAACGACTCCAGGGTCGTGTTCCTGTCCCCGGCCGTGCCCGAGGACCCCGAGGCCTACAACCTCACGGCGCTCATTCAGATGGACGGGCACCGTGTCCTGCTCAGGACCGAGGCTGGGGCCTTCGAGTACGTGTCCGATCCCACCTTCAAGAACTTCTCTGGGGGCGTCAAGAAGCAGGTCAACAAGCTCATCCACGCCCAGGTGAGGACGGCGCAGGCCGGGGTCCGGGGCTCGACCAGGTGCGGGTCGGCCGGCGGCTCAGGGTCTGGGCTGAGCTGGTCCAAGTGCCCCTGAGTCCCTCCTGGTTATGGTGACCCCGCCCCCCACCCCCAGGGCACCAACCTGAACAAGGCGATGACGCTGCATGAGGCCGAGGCCTTTGTGGGGGCGGAGCGCTGCGTCATGAAGACGCTGACCGAGACCGACCTGTACTGCGAGCCCCCGGAGGTGCAGCCGCCCCCTAAGCGGCGGCAGAAGCGAGACACGACACTCAATCTGCCCGAGTTCATTGTACGTGTGGGCAGGGCAGGCGGGTGGGGTGCCAGGCTGTGCCATGGGGTTCTGGGCACTGGCTCAGCCACGCTTGTCCGCGCTGAGCCCTCCCCTCCACGCAGGTGAAGTTCGGCTCCCGGGAGTGGGTGCTGGGCCGCGTAGAGTATGACAGTCGTGTGAGCGAGGTGCCGCTCAGCGTCATCCTGCCGCTGGTCATGGTGCCCATGGTCATCATCATCGCCCTGTCTGTCTACTGCTACTGGTGAGCCCCGCCCGCGGCCTCGGCCCCGCCCACGGCCCTGGCCCCGCCCACGGCCCTGGCCCCGCCCTCCCACAACCCGGGCCCCGCCCACGGCCCTGGGCCCGCCCTCCTACCGCTCTGGCCACACCCACTGCCCGGCGAGGCGGGCCAGGCCGGGTCCCAGCAGCCTCCCTTGCGCAGGAGGAAGAGCCAGCAGGCGGAGCGCGAGTACGAGAAGATCCGCTCGCAGCTGGAGGGCCTGGAGGAGAGCGTGCGCGACCGCTGCAAGAAGGAGTTCACGGGTGCGGCGCGGGGGGGGGGGGCGGGGCGGGGCGGGGGCGCCCTCGCGGGGCCGGGCGAGGGGTCACCGGCGCTGTCCCCCCAGACCTGATGATCGAGATGGAGGACCAGACAAACGACGTGCACGAGGCCGGCATCCCGGTGCTGGACTACAAGACCTACACGGACCGCGTCTTCTTCCTGCCGTCCAAGGACGGCGACAAGGACGTGATGATCACGGGCAAGCTGGACATCCCCGAGTCGCGGCGGCCCGTGGTGGAGCAGGCGCTGTACCAGTTCTCCAACCTGCTCAACAGCAAGTCCTTCCTCATCAACGTGAGCGGCGGGGCGGCCGTGGGGGCGGGCGGGCCAGGATGGCGGGTGGGCGGACAGAGTGGGCAGGGGAGCCAGGATGGCGGGTGGGCGGCAGGGCCAGGACCCAGGGCGGGCTGGGCCGGGCTCCTGCAGGCGCTGACCTGCCGCCCCCGCAGTTCATCCACACCCTGGAGAACCAGCGCGAGTTCTCGGCGCGCGCCAAGGTGTACTTCGCGTCGCTGCTGACGGTGGCGCTGCACGGGAAGCTCGAGTACTACACGGACATCATGCGCACGCTCTTCCTGGAGCTCATGGAGCAGTATGTGGTGGCCAAGAACCCCAAGCTGATGCTGCGCAGGTGCGTGGGGCGCCGGGTGGGGGTGGGGGGCGGCTGTGGCACCTGGTGCGCTGGCGGGGCAGCCAGCGCGAGGAGTAGGGAGGGTCCTGGCAGCCGTCGGTGTCCACTGGTCGCTGGGCTGCTCCCCCTCAGAATCACCCTCTAGGACGGGGTGACATGCCCCCCTTGAAGGGGCCGGGCAGCGGCTCCCGCAGGCTGGACCTGGGCATGCTGGCAGGAGGCGGGTCGGGGTGCCTGAAGGGCCGGCCGGCGGGCACTGCGGGGCCCCTGGGTACCAGGCCTGTCTGCGCCCCCAGGTCGGAGACGGTGGTGGAGAGGATGCTGTCCAATTGGATGTCCATCTGCCTGTACCAGTACCTCAAGGTGGGCTCCCGGCGGCAGGCGGGGGGGGTTGAGGGGGGCAGGGGTGCTGCTCCCCGCGCTTGCCCTGGTGGCACCTCCAGGGGAGTGCGGTCGCCGAGCTGACCACTGCGTTGCTCCAGGACAGCGCGGGCGAGCCTCTCTACAAGCTCTTCAAGGCCATCAAGCACCAGGTGGAGAAGGGCCCGGTGGACGCCGTGCAGAAGAAGGCCAAGTACACCCTCAACGACACGGGGCTGCTGGGGGACGACGTGGAGTACGCGCCCCTGGTGAGCCCGGGTCCCGCCCATCCCAGGACCAGAGCGGGTGCTGCTCCCCTCCCTGTGCTGGGGAGACCATCCAGGTGCCATGGCCCAAGCCTGCTGTCGGCCTGGGTGGGGCCCGGGCACCCCGAGGGTGTCTGGTGGTGAGCTGTGCGCACTCCCCGGCCCCTGTGAGCTGGGAGGGATGAGGGGCCCCTCTGTTCCTCTGCTCGGTCCTGCTGGGCCAGGGCTGCAGGGGAGGCGAGGCCCCAGCCGGGGTGCGGTGGGGGCTCTCACCCGCCCACTGGCCCTTTATCCTGTCTCTCCCCCCTCCCCACAGACGGTGAGCGTGATCGTCCAGGACGAAGGGGTGGACGCCATCCCCGTCAAGGTGCTCAACTGCGACACCATCTCCCAGGTCAAGGAGAAGATCATCGACCAGGTGTACCGCACGCAGCCGTGCTCCCGCTGGCCCAAGGCGGACAGTGTGGTTCTGGGTGAGCCCTCTGCCCTGGGGGGGAGGGCGGGGTGGGCGGGGGACAGCGAGGGCGCCCTGCAGGGCGGGTGGTCTGTGGCCGGTCCCGGAGCTGGCTGTGTCATCCTGCAGAGTGGCGCCCCGGGTCCACGGCCCAGATCCTGTCCGACCTGGACCTGACGTCCCAGCGGGACGGCCGGTGGAAGCGCGTCAACACGCTCATGCACTACAACGTGAGTGCGGCTGCGGCTCGGCCGGCCCCTTCCCCGCGGGCGGGGGCTGGGGAGCGAGCCTCCCTCATGACCCTGTTCCCAGGTCCGGGACGGCGCCACGCTCATCCTGTCCAAAGTGGGGGTCTCGCAGCAGCCGGAGGACAGCCAGCAGGACCTGCCTGGGGAGCGTGAGTCCCTTCCTCGTGCCTGTTTTTTTAAAATTGATTTCAGAGAAGAAGGGAGAGGAGAAAGAGAAATAGAAACATCAATGATGAGAGAGAATTATTGATCGGCTGCCTCCTGCATGTCCCCCACCGGGGATCGAGCCCGAAACCCGGGCATGTGCCCTTGACCAGAATCGAACCTGGGACCCTTCAGTCCACAGGCCGATGCTCTATCCACTGAGCCAAACCAGCTAGGGCTTTTTTTTTTTTTTTTAATTGATTTCAGACAGGAAGGGAGGGGGAGAGAGAAATAGAAACATCAGTGATGAGAATCATTGGCCGGCTGCCTCCTGCACGCCCCCTACTGGTGACTGAGCCCACAACCCAGGCCTGTGCCCTGGCGGGGCATCGAACTGTGACCTCCTGGTTCATAGGTCGATGCTCAACCATGAGCCACGCTGGCTGGGCCTCGTGCCTGTGTTGCTCTGGTCCCTGACGGTACTCTCTGGGGGCTGCGAGCCCAGCATGATACCTGGCCCCTCCCACAGGCCACGCCCTCCTGGAGGATGAGAACCGAGTGTGGCACCTGGTGCGGCCCACGGACGAGGTGGAGGAGGGCAAGTGCAAGCGCGGCAGCATGAAGGAGAAGGAGCGCACCAAGGCCATTACTGAGATCTACCTGACCCGCCTGCTGTCCGTCAAGGTGGGCGCGGAGCGGGCGATGGGCGTGCAGCCGGCAGGGGTGGCGGGCGGGTGGCAGGCCGAGCGAACGCTGAGTCCCCTCCACCGCAGGGCACGCTGCAGCAGTTCGTGGACAACTTCTTCCAGAGCGTGCTGGCGCCGGGCCTGGCCGTGCCGCCCGCCGTCAAGTACTTCTTCGACTTCCTGGACGAGCAGGCGGAGAAGCACGACATCAAGGACGAGGACACCATCCACATCTGGAAGACCAACAGGTGGGCCCCCGTCCCGCCCCCGGGCCGCCCATCCGCGCGTGCCCCGGCCTCAGTAGCCCCTCACCCATTCTCGCTCTGCTTCAGTTTACCGCTCCGGTTCTGGGTGAACATCCTGAAGAACCCCCACTTCATCTTTGACGTGCACGTCCACGAGGTGGTCGACGCCTCGCTGTCCGTCATCGCGCAGACCTTCATGGACGCCTGCACGCGCACGGAGCACAAGCTGAGCCGGGTGAGGGTCCTGGCCGCTCCCGAGGGGCCGGGGCTTGGGGTCCTCGCCCAGGAGGCCTGGGCAGGGCAGTGTCCACGGGGGTGGAGTCGTGGCCGTGCCAGGATGGGCCCGGTTTGTGTGGGTGAGGATTTGCGAATTTGGAGCTGGAGTTCAGGAGAGACGGGTGCCAGGTAATGGGGTGGGGGCAGGGCCAGAGCCTGGGACGTCCCCTGGTGATGGGCTTTTTAAAAAAAAAATATGTATATATATATACATATTATTGATTTTAGAGAAGAAGGGAGAGGGAGAGAGAGAGAGAAACATCAGTGATGAGAATCATTGATCGGCTGCCTCCTGCACGGCCCCTACTGGGGATGGAGCCTGCAACCCAGGCATGTGCTCTTGACTGGAATTGAATCCAGGACCCTGCAGTCCGCAGGCCAGTGCTCTATCCACTGAGCAAACTAGCCAGGGCTTGATGGGCTTTGGGGCGGCCTGGCACCCTGTCCTCCCCCTCCTCCTGCACCCCCTTGGAGACCCTTTGCTGACACAGGCGGAGAAAGCGAGTTTGAGTCCAAATTCTAAACAGTGTCAGCAGGGTCAGGTCTGGCTGGGCGGGTGCTGCCCCTCCTTTTCCTGAACGGGGCCAGCCTGGCTCCATCGGGGCCCGAGGGCAGGGGCACCGGCCAGCCCACCTTGGCCTGGGCATCACTTGGCTGTGACCCCACAGGACTCTCCCAGCAACAAGCTGCTCTACGCCAAGGAGATCTCGACCTACAAGAAGATGGTGGAGGAGTGAGTGACCCCACCTCTCGGCCCCCACCCGGCGGGGTTTCTGGGGGGAGGAGCACCCTGGTGGGCTGCGTTGGGTCCAGCCTTTGGGACCCACTGTGCCCCCCGCCCTCCCCCACAGTTACTACAAGGGGATCAGACAGATGGTGCAGGTCAGCGACCAGGACATGAACACACACCTGGCGGAGATTTCCCGGGTAAGGGGCGCAGGGGAGGTGTGCCGTGCCCTCGGGAGGGAGGCGGAGGGTGAGGCCAGGTGGGCTGGCACCTATGTGTGACCGACCAGGCGTGCATGCGCTGGGGGTGGCGTCAGCTCTGAGCCGGCCGCGTGGGCCACGCCCCTGCGTGGATGCGTCTGTGTGTGGCTGCCCCGTGTCTGAGGGCTGTGAGGCTGTGGCCCTTCGTGTCTGCCTGTGCCACATGCTTGCTCCCCTGGGTCACACGCCCCCTCCCCCAGGCGCACACGGACTCCCTGAACACCCTCGTGGCCCTGCACCAGCTCTACCAGTACACGCAGAAGTACTACGACGAGGTAGGAGGTTCCGCCTGCCCCAGGTCGGGGGAGGCGCCTGGGCAACCTGCTCCCTGCCTGGGGGCTGACCGGAGCCTCCCTCAGATCATCAACGCCCTGGAGGAGGACCCTGCTGCCCAGAAGATGCAGCTGGCCTACCGCCTGCAGCAGATTGCAGCGGCCCTGGAGAACAAGGTCACCGACCTCTGACCTCTGACCTCCGGCACCACGGTCCCGAGGCACAGGTGTGTGATGCCCAGTGCCGGCACTGGGCGGCGCCTGGGGAAGGAGGCCGAAGCCAGCGGTGGGCCAGCCCTCCTCTCTCGCCGGCGGAGGAAGCGCCCCCCGCCCCTGGGGTGTGCGAGCGTGGGTGCGGCGGGAACCCCCCTCCGTGTTGGTAGCCACGTAGCGTCTTTCTCCTGAGCAATAGTGCCTGGCGCCCTCCAGCACCAGCCCCTCCGGAACACCAGCATCGGGCGTTGTCTCCGCGTGGAGTCTCCTGAGCTATTCGCAAATGTGCCTTTCGCCCCCGGCGCCACCCCACGTCGCTAGGGGCCGCCGGGCCCCAGCCCCCCCTCCTGAGCACCAGCAGCCGCCCGGTGAGGGTCTGGCCTCTTTGGGGGGTCTGAGTGCCTGCAGCCCCAGGGCCCGAGCCCAGACTGTCTGCCCGCCCGGACGGGAGGAGAAAAGCGGTACGATGCCTTCCTGACCTCGCCTGCCCGGCCGCGGGCACCAGCCGTCTGGGCGGCGGACTCTGCGCTCCGGGCCTCACCTCAAAGGTCAAGCTGGATGTCAGACGTCGAGGCCCAGGCAGCCAGAGGGGACCCAGAGACGGTCCGGCCTCGGCCTGTCAGACAGGCCGTCCTGGAGGCTCCGCCCGGTCTGTGGGGGGCCAGGAGGAGCTCGGCTAGGACACCCCCACCCCTTTTGTAAATCTTGTTCATTGTAAATCAAATACAACTGTCTTTTTCACTCTGCTGGTTGGCTGGGTTCCTCCTGGGGCTGCAGGGCTGCTGCCCCTGCTCCTCGGCCCCGGCCCCACCCCATCCTGTCCTGCTCACGGCCTGCTCCCCAGCCCTGGGATCTCACCCTCAGGTGGACCTGTGTGGCCTCAGGCCCCACCTCCCGGTTCCTCTGGGCCAGGCCCAGGGGGCGTGTGCAGAGCTGCACTGAGTCTACCCCTGAGAAGAGGATGGTCAAGGGCTGGGAGGTGAGGCCTCTGGCATGGAGTGGGGCTGGGCAGCTCAGGCCTAGGTGATCCTGGAGTGGGTTAAGGGTCCAGAGGGGTGCAAGGAGGCAGCCCCACCAGGCAGGGAAGTGTGGGGGGCATTGGGTTGGCCAGGCAGCCCTGGTGGCCATGACATTCCCCCGCCTCCCATGGGCTGAGCCACCAGGAGCCATGGGAGAAGGCAGGTGTGATGGCAGCCTGCTGTCTGGACCCTGAGCTCTCCTTCCTGAGGTGGGTCTACTCCCAGGCATGGTCTACCCAGAGCCCATTTGGTAAGCCCCTGCTGTACGCAGACCCCACTGGACACTGGGGTGGCTCTGGGATTGAGGCCCCTCCGTCCTCCTCCTCGAGGCTGTGGGGCCGTTCGGGGAGCTCCTCTGCCCCGTGAACGGCCCAGGATGACTCGGGACATAGCAGGGCTCAAGGACGCTGTACCCAAGAGCCAGGGGCTAATGCGGAGGAAGGGGTTGTCTGGGAACCTGGTGGGGGGCGGGGTTTGCTCCCAGTCTCCATGTCCCATGCAGAACTGAGACGTGCCACCTGCAGGCATCAGGCACAGGCGTGTGCTGTGTGCACAGACACAGCATCAGCGTGTCAGGCCCCTGATGCGACATGCACTGTCCTGGGCATGAGGGGCTCTGCCCCACAGATAGCACCCACGCAAGCAGGAAGGGGTTTGGGGGCTCCACAAGCTTCAGGTACGGCTGGATCCAGGCGCTCACACGTCCGGGTTCCACCCGTCTGCTGGTTTACCCTCGGGTAGCAGGGCTGCTGGTGGCAGGCAGCCCCAGCCTGTGTCTCCTCCACGTGGGGCACACCGGGGGGGGGTGGGGTGGGGGGACGAGGATCGGTGGGTGAAGCCTTGATCATAAGCCACTTGGAACAAGGGTGGGTGTCTCCCACAGGAAGGGGTTCTAGGCTCACAGCTGACATCCCGCCCAGGGACCTCTGAAGTGACAGTGCCATGGCCCACACTGAGTCCCCTTCCCAGAGACCAGCTGGTCAGGAAACCTGGACAAGATGCTGAAAAGCATCCCAGCTGGTGTGGCTCGGTGGATAGAGCGTCGGTCCTTGGACTGAAGGGTCGAGGGTTCGATTCTGGTCAAGAGCATGTACCTCGGTTGCAGGCTCTGTTCCTAGCCCACGTTGAGGTGCGTGCAGGAGGCAAGCAATCAATGTGTCTCTCACATCGATGCTTCTCTGTCTCTCCCTCTCCCTTCCACTCTCTCTCTCAAAATCAGTGGAGAAATATTCTCGGGTGAGGAATAGCAACAAAAAAAGAAGATGGGGAAGTCAGTGAGAGACCCACCTCCTTCCACTCTGAAGCGTGGAGATGGGGTAGGACTACCCTCTCGGAGAGAAGAGAGGGATCCCAGGCCTGTCCTTTCCGGGGGTGGTGAAGGGTAGAAACGGTGTTGGATGCACGGGGTGGGCAGGCCTACCTTCAGGGGTCCCGATGTTTTCAGGGAGGGTCCACCGGCAACCTCCAGCTTTCCTTCCATGCGGCAGGCTACACCCCACTTGCTTATTAAGAGCATGAACCCCACCCTAACCGGTTTGGCTCAGTGGATAGAGCGTTGGCCTGCGGACTGGAAGGTCCCAGGTTCGGTTCCGGTCAAGGGCATGTACCTGGGTTGCGGGCACATCCCCAGTAGGAGATGTGCAGGAGGCAGCTGATCGATGTTTCTCTCTCATCGATGTTTCTAACTCTCTATCTCCCTTCCTCTCTGTAAAAAATCAATAAAATATATTTAAAAAAAAAAAAAAGAGCATGAACCCCACCCTAACCAGTTTGGCTCAGTGGATAGAGCATCAGCCTGCAGGCTGAAGGGTCCCAGGTTCGGCTCTGATCAAGGGCATGCACCTTGGTTGCAGGCTCAATCCTAGTAGGGGGTCGCCTAAGACCATCCTGCATAGCAGATATTTACATGACGATTCATCACAGTAGCAACATTACAGTTATGAAGTAGCAACGAAAATAATTTTATGGTTGGGTCACAACATGAGGAACTGTTTAAAGGGCCAGAAGGTTGAGAACCACTGTCATAGATGTTACTAATTCTCTGTCCCTCTCCCTTCCTCTGTAAAATCATTAAAAATGTATATTTTTTATAAAAAGGAAAAGCATGACGAGCATTTCAGGAAGTTCATTGTGACCTCAGGGAGAAGTGCGCCCGGACTGGCCGGGGCTGGGAAGGGGTGACCTGGCCAGTGGACGGGCAGTGGACGTGGAGAGAAGGGCTGGGCTCCACGCTCAGGGGTGGCAGTGATTCACACTGAGGCAGAGGGAGGCCAGGGCTCGGGCCTGGGCAGGAGGCTCTTCGCTCCGTCCCACCCTCACACTGTGATCCTACCGTTTCTGGCTGCTGTGCCCGCCCCACACCTCTCAGCACTGGGTCATCCCACCTGGACAGGGCAGCCTTGACCTGGTGGCCGGATGACACCCACCATGTCCAGCAGAGCTTCCTGAGGACAAAACTGAAACCGGCCCGGCCCGTGTGGCTCACTGGTCGAGTGTCAACCTCTGAACCAGAGGTCAGGGTTCCATTCCGGGTCCGGGCACATGCCCTGGTTGCAGGCTGGATCCCCAGTAGGGGGCGTGCAGGAGGCAGCCGATCAATGGTGCTCCCTCATTCTTTTTTTAATGTATTTTATTGATTTTTTACAGAGAGGAAGGGAGAGGGATAGAGAGTTAGAAACATCGATCAGCTGCCTCCTGCACACCCCCCGCTGGGGATGCGCCCACAACCAAGGCACATGCCCTTGACCGGAATCGAACCCGGGACTCCTTAGTCCGCAGGCCGACGCTCTATCCACTGAGCCAAACGGGTCGGGGCTAAAAACTTGTTTTTAATCTGACCAGGCCCCACTCCAGCCTGGCCAGCCCTCGGCCATGGCCACCACCTGCCTGTTCCTTGTCAAGCTCCCCGAAGAGCCAGGACGGTCCGGCGTCCCCCCTCCAGGGGCTCCTCCCCAAGCTCCGCGGTCACTCCCGGCCCCGTGACAACCCAGATCCTCCCCGGAGGCAGCGCGGGGGCTGTCCGCCTGGGGCCGGGTCACGGCCGGGGATGGGGTGGGGGTGTGTCCAGGGCAGGTTTGCTCAAGGAGGAAGGTCTCCACGCCCGCGACCCGCTGAGCCGGACAGGAGGGCTGCTCCCCGCGGGTCAGCCCTGACCCCCACCGCCGGGGAGAGCACGGGGTCGCCCGACACCTGCGCAGGGGCGGGGCTGGTCGCCATGGGAACGCGCCCCGGCGCGCCCGGCGGCGCAGACAAAGGCGGCCTCCGGCGGCGGCGCGGCCGGTTCCCACAGCCCGGGCTCCGCTCCCGCCCCGCCCGCTTCAGCTGCAGCCTCATTAGCTCCGCACAAAACCTCAGCTGCGGGGACGGCGCCCGGCGCGGCCCGGGGAGACCCAGCGGGCGGCCAGCGGGGCTCCGGACTCGGCCCGCTTCCCGGGTCGGATTCCCTCCGCCGATGTGTCCGTTTGCCCGGTTCCGCGTTCAGATGCTTTATTTTCATTTGGTGTCAATATTTAAAAATCTGTTATTTCCATAAAAACTCAGGTTTTAACTTGTTTTGGAAAAAACAGAACTTTGGGCCCGGCCGCCGTGGCTCAGGGGGTGAGCTTCGACCTCTGAACCAGGACATCAGGGGTCGATTCCCGGTCAGGGCACAGGCCCGGGTTGCCGGCTCGGTCCCCAGTAGGGGGCGTGCAGGAGGCAGCCCATCCGTGATTCTCTCTCATCATTGATGTTTCTCTCCTCCCTCCCTCTCCCTTCCTCTCTGAAATCAATAAATATTTAAAATAAAACCAGAATGTTGGGCAACCCAAGAGCCTAATTTCCCGCTTTCCCGGGAGGGGCAGCCCAGCCACTACCCGCGGCCCCAGGGCGGGCGTTAGGAGGCCTTTATCTTCACAAGTGGGCGCTGGGTGGATGCGGGCGCCCCGCCTGCTGGCCCTGCTGGCCCTGCTGGCCCAGGGAACACCTGGTGGAGCAGCAAGTGGGAACGAAGCCGCGAGGAACCGTTGGCAGCCCCTAGGAACGCCTCGCTACCTAGGCAAGTCAGGGTGGGCTTCCTGGAAGAGGTGACAGCCAAGGAAGGGTTGTTTCGGGAAGAAGGAAGGTACCAGGCACCGAAGAAGACTCATTTGGGGAAACCTTTAAAAAAAAAATCCTATTGATTTCAGAGAGGAAGGGCGAGGGAGAGAAACATCAATGATGAGAGAGAATCATTGACTGGCTGCCTCCTGCACGCCCCCTACTGGGGATCAAGTCCCCAACCTGGGCACGTGCCCTTGACCAAAATCGAACCCGGGACCCTTCAGTCCGCAGGCCGAGGCTCTATCCACTGAAGGGAGAGCTTCTTATGGGTACAACACCCCAAGGCACCCTGGCGCGGCCGCTGTCCCTGGTCCTGACAAACCCAGGGCCTGGCCGGGGGATCAGTTCCCCCAAGAGGCGCTGGGCTGCCCACAACGACTGGCGAGCGGGGAAGGTCGGCCAGGAGGCAGGCGGCCACCGCGGCCAGAGCGGCCTCACAGGGAGGGGCCTGGCTGGCCCGGGACCCAGGGCGCCATCTGCCCACCGCAGGGGAGCCCCACGCAGCCCAGCGCCTGGATGTATTAGGTCTTTCCCATGTGATGATGGCTCGCCCAGGGCCAGGCAGCTTTGATTTTGAGAGCAGCTGGGGGAGGGGTGCGGGACGGGAGGTGGGGCGAGGGGAGGTGCCAGCGGGAGGGTGCGGGGAGCCAAGTCCTGAGAGAGGAGGCGGCGGCCTGGGCCTGGGTCTGCGGCGCCCGGCGGGGACAGGACGTGGGCGCCCATTTGGGGAGGTGCGCGGACCCCTGGGGGTAGAGGCGGGAGGGGCTGTAAGTCGGACCGGCTCCCTCTCCGCCCGGCAGAGCCCATCCTCCCCGGGGGTGACAGGAAGGCCGGGTTCTGCTCCGCCGCGCCTGGAAGGGGCAGGAAGCCGCCTCGTCCCGGGAACCCCCTCGCCGGCCCCGCCCCGCGCACGGCGCTCCGTGCGCTCGGCTGGCGCTCCGGCGCGGGGGCCGCGGGAGGCCATGTCCGGCCCTCGCGCCGGCTTCTACCGGCAGGAGCTGAACAAGACGGTGTGGGAGGTGCCGCAGCGGCTGCAGGGGCTGCGCCCGGTGGGCTCGGGCGCCTACGGCTCCGTCTGGTAGGGGCGGGGCGGGGCTGGGGCGGGACTGCGCGCGCCCTCTACCTGCCCGCCCGGATTCTGGGCGCCGGGTGGGACCTCGCCCTCCACCTCCCGCCCCCGGGCACTGCGAGGATCTGTGGAAAGACTGGGGTTTGGGGGCGTGAGGGGAACTTTCCTCCCAGACCCCGCTCGGGGCGGGGAGACCGGTCATCCTTCTGCCCAGGCCACCCGACTGCCCCCACCGGGCCTGAAGCCTGCGGCGTCACAGCCGGCGAGAGGGCGGGTCTCCCGGCCCCCAAATGTCCGAGCGCGTCTGGGCTGCCCCGGGCCCGGGGTCAGGCAGCCCCAGGGTCTGGCAGAGGCCCCGCCCTGGCGTGGGTACTTTTGTTTGAACAAGGAAAGCCGAGCTGGGGAGAGAGGGCAACCGTCCCCTTAGGGTGGCCCTGGGGGTCCTGTGCCCCCTCCCATTTTGCAAGGGGTCTCAGACTACGGGTGGGGCTTAGCCCTAACCTACCATGACCCCCACAATTCTTAGGGGGCTCTACCCCACTCCACCGCTTTTCTGCCCCAAACAAGAGAGCTCAGACCACAGCCCTGCAGCTGGGCCCTGGGGCCCCACAGAGGACTGAATCGAAGGGGAAGGAGGGTCACACTCCTGAGGCCTGTCCCCTGGGGGTGGGGAGTCCGGAGGGCCCCAGGGTGAGGCGGCTGCGGGAAGTTCTGGTGTGAGTTGCAATGCTGACGGTGAGGCTGACTGGGTGTAGGTGTGATAGGTGCCCCCCCCCCCCCCACAGCACCCAGTGGGTTCCTTACTGAGGCCAGAGCCAGGTGGCTGCTGCCCACTGCAGGGGTCCTGGGGGTGGGGTGAAGCGGCCCTTAGGGGGCGGGGGGTGGGCGCAAATGCCATTGCTTGAGGCTGGAAGTTAGGAATGAGCCAGGCCTGAGATGCAGTGTTGGAGCCTGGAGCAGGGGCTTGAGGTCCCTGCGGGCCCTGAGCTCACCCTATGGCTGCAGGCAGGAACCTCAGGCCGGCCATGCTAGGCATTCCAGCTGGCCACAGGCCTCTATGTCATCTCTAAGATGCCCGGGGCAGGAAGAGGGCCAGGGGCAGGTGTTAGTGGTGGGGGGAGGCCAGGGTCCGAGAGAACCCTTGCTGGAATCGCACCCGCCCAGGGTTGTCTTCTGGGGTTCCCAGTGAGCACGGAGCTTCCCAGGGCAGCCCAAGTCTCTCGTAGCCCCACGTGGCCCAGCTCCCGAGGGCCCCTCTCCGGGATACCCCCCTTCGCCTGGTGAAGCTGCCGACTCAGGGCCAACCCCCGTCACTTGGCGGCACAGACACAATCAGGCAGAACAATCTGCTGCCCGGCCTGGCAGGTCACCCTCTGCGTCCGAGCCGAGGAATGACTTGGACCGCCCCCCGCAGGTGATGGGCTAGGGCAGCGATGGCGAACCTATGACACGCGTGTCAGAGGTGACACGCAAACTCATTTTTTTGGTTGATTTTTCTTTGTTAAATGGCATTTAAATATATAAAATAAATATCAAAAATATGTCTTTGTTTTACTCTGGTTGCAAATATCAAAAAATTTCTATATGTGACACGGCACCAGAGTTAAGTTAGGGTTTTTCAAAATGCTGGCACGCCGAGCTCAAAAGGTTCGCCATCACTGGGCTAGGGAGAGGGCACAGATGCCCCAGGCTCCCACCTGGCTTTCCGCCACCACTACCTGGGCCCAGGAGCAGGAACCCTTTGTCTTGCAGGAGCAGCTTGGATTCCACTGCCTCAGATCCCAGAGAGGGGAGGTGGAGTGGGAGGGAGGGAGGGAAGAGCATCCGCTAGAGGTGGGGGCAGGTGTGTGTGTGACTGGACCGGAGCTGAGGTTTGGGCCTAAGGATGATGCCAGTGGCTGTTGCGTCCCCTGTGAAGAGCAGGTGGAGGTGGGGGTGGGGGTGGTGGAGGGTCTTGACCTCTGTGGGTTGGGGCTGGGCAAGGGGGATGCAGACACCAGCTCGGCTGGACACTCCCTCTGCCTGGCTTCTCACTGCTGCAAATGACCCAGTTCCCACCATGGTGTGAATGTCCAGAGGCCTTGGAGGTGGCTCTGGGCCCTCCTGGACTCACTGCCGGAGGGGGTGGGGGATCCTTTGCTGTGTGAACAGCCAGGGCTGCTCACCTGGTGGGTCATTTCCATCCGGGCTGTGCAGACCTCCCAGGCCTCGCCCTGGGTTGGAGGTGAGGGGGCAAAGGATGCCGGTCCTGAGTCCCTGGGCTGCCAGGCGGACCCTCCGGGCTGGAAGGCTGAGCCGCTCCTTGAGGAGGGCGCAGGGCCGGAGGCACTGGGGACCCTGAATGGTGCCCGGCCCCCCGAGGGCTTCCCTGGGACAAACGCCTGGTGGGAGCACAGCGGAGGGCCAGCAGGGGTGGCCGCGGAGGAGAGGCGGTGGGGCCTCTGTGTGCCGACCGCCCTCGGCCGCCCTCGGCCCAGACCATCCTGGGGCGGGCGCCCCAAGGTCCTGGCCACCGCCCCCTCCGCCGCCCTGCAGCTCGGCCTACGACGCGCGTCTCCGCCAGAAGGTGGCGGTGAAGAAGCTGTCGCGCCCCTTCCAGTCGCTGGTCCACGCGCGGAGGACCTACCGGGAGCTGCGGCTGCTCCGGCACCTGAAGCACGAGAACGTGAGCTGGGCACCCGGGGGGGGGGGGGGGGTGCGGGCCGCGCGGGCTGGGCCGGGCCGGACCCCCCACTCTGACCCCTCCTGCCAGGTCATCGGGCTGCTGGACGTCTTCACTCCGGCCACGTCCATCGAGGACTTCAGCGAAGTGTAAGCGGCGCCGGGCGCGCGCGGCGGGGAGGGGGCGGCAGGACCAGGTGCTGAGACCAGGTGACCACGCGCAGGTACCTGGTGACCACGCTGATGGGCGCCGACCTCAACAACATCGTCAAGTGCCAGGCGCTGAGCGACGAGCACGTGCAGTTCCTCGTGTACCAGCTGCTGCGCGGGCTGAAGGTGGGCGGGGCCGGGGCGGGCGGAGCTGAAGGTGGGCGGGGCCGGATGTGGGCGGTGCTGAATGTGGGCGGGGCCCGCGGGCTGCGCGGGGCGGGGCGGGGCGGGGCGGGGCGGGGCGGGGCGGGGCGGGGCGTGCCCGAGGAGTCGGCGGGCACCTGACCTCGTTCTCCCCCTCGCAGTACATCCACTCGGCCGGGATCATCCACCGGGTAGGTGGCTCTGCAGGGCCGCGCGCGCGCCCTCCTGGCTCAGCCCGCTAACCCTAACCCTGCATGCAGGACCTGAAGCCCAGCAACCTGGCGGTGAACGAGGACTGCGAGCTCAGGGTGCGCGCTGGGGATGGGCGCGGGCGTAGGGGGGGCGGCAGGGCATGGAGGCGGCGTTCCTGGGGGGCGCTGACCACCCGGGTGCCTGCTCTAGATCCTGGACTTCGGGCTGGCACGCCAGGCGGATGAGGAGATGACGGGCTACGTGGCCACGCGCTGGTACCGGGCCCCTGAGATCATGCTCAACTGGATGCACTACAACCAGACAGGTGACGTCAGCCCCTGTGGGGTGGCCAGGCAGAGCCCATGCCAGAGCCTGGGGGGTGGGGAGGGCAAAGCCAGGGACATTGGGAGCTCCAATCTTGGGGACCCAAGGCCTGGGGCCAGCATTCAGAAACAGACCTTCAGAAGGGCGGAGCGTGGTGGGTCTTGGGCTGACCCTCCCCTCCAGGGTCTGGCTGGAGGAGGAGGGGACCAGGGGTGGTGGGGACACTGGCTGGCACAGTCCAGGCAGTCCCCCGGTTCTCAGAGGAAGGGCGTGGGTGGACAGACTGATGGAGATGCCTCCCCCAGCAGTGGACATCTGGTCTGTGGGGTGCATCATGGCCGAGCTGCTCCAAGGAAAGGCCCTCTTCCCGGGAAGTGACTGTATCCTTGGCCCAGGTGGGGGAGGAGGGCTGAGCGCTAGGGTCCCTTCCTTTGGGGGGGGGGGGGGTTGAGGGGATGGGCTCAGCCCTTTGTGGCCAGTCTTGCCTCTTCTCCTCCGACACTGTGCCACCTGGGCACACTGTCCCGGGCCGTAGGAGAGCAGGTTCTGGGGTCTGGAGGCCCGAGAAGGGTTCGGGCCTGGCCCGTGGGCATTTCCTGAGCCAGGCAGACATTGACCAGCTGAAGCGCATCATGGAGGTGGTGGGCACGCCCAGCCCTGAGGTGCTGGCAAAGATATCCTCTGAACACGTGAGTCACCAGCCCCGGCTCCTCTGCTGACCCGGCCCTGGTGCTGTGGGGGAAGGGCCGTGTGGGGAGCGTGGGCCGCAGTGGAATAGAGCCCAAGGCAGGTGCCTGGCCCCTTCAGGGGGAAGCAGGTGGACAGGGAAGACATTCCGGGCGTGAGGCACAGTGAGGGCAAAGTAGCAGCGCCCACCGCAGTGCCCTGGTCTAGGGAGGAGGCCCAGCGCCAGGCCCAGGTCTGTCTGTGCACGCCCTGTCCTCGTGAGTGAGGGGGCTTAGGGCCAAGGGAGGTCGCGGGGGGTGGGAGGGTGCCGCCCGCTCAGGCCCTTCCCATGTGCCCCCAGGCCCGGACCTACATCCAGTCCCTGCCTCCAATGCCCCAGAAGGACCTCAGGAGCATCTTCCGTGGCGCCAACCCCCTGGGTGAGGACGGGCCCTGGGTCTGGGCTGGGCGCCAGTCTGGCCCTGGATGCGGGGCTGACCCCCAGCCCCTCCTCCCCTGTCTGCGCTGCAGCGGTGGACCTCCTGGGAAGGATGCTGGTGCTGGACAGCGACCGGAGGCTCAGTGCGGCCGAGGCCCTGGCCCACGCCTACTTCAGCCAGTACCACGACCCTGAGGACGAGCCTGAGGCCGAGCCCTACGACGAGAGCGTGGAGGCAAAGGAGCGCACCTTGGAGGAGTGGAAGGGTGGGCCTGGGGGGGAGATGGGGGGGGGATGGGGTGGGCCTGAGGGGGGGTGGGGGGGTGGCGCCCAGGGGCCGGAGGGCTGCCTCCCTGGAGGCCGGGCACTGCCTGTTTGCTGCTGGAGGGCTTCAACTCATCCTCGGGGTGGTCTGGGAGGGGACAACACGCCCCCCCACTCCAGGGGGGTGGTTAGAGATGGGGTTGGTACATCCAGCAGAGCAGGGGGCAGCACAGGGCAGGCTCTGGAAGGGACAAGGGCCGAGGCTGCCCTCGGATGGTGGTGGGCCTGGGCTGGCGGCTGGCACCAGACAAGTGTGTACTGGGGGGCACTGGGCTGGTGGCAGCACAGGCTCACCTTCCCCCTCACTCCCCAGAACTCACCTACCAGGAAGTCCTCAGCTTCAAGCCCCCAGGGCCACCGCAGCCCCCAGGCAGCCTGGACGTTGAGCAGTGAGCCGCTCTGGAACTCACGGAGGGGCCCGAGCCTGCCCACCCCGGCTCCACAGCCTGCCGGGTTCCCACCAGGATTGCCTCCCACCTCATGACCCCGGCCTGGGACCCCTGGTCTGCATGCCGCTTCCGTGGGAGTCTGCACACACATATGAATGCATGAACGTGTGCACGTGTGCACGCTGTGGGCGTAGGAGTCTGGACAGAGCGTCCTGGCCTTCCTTGGTCCTCTCACCGCATCCCAGCAAGCGGGGTCTCCCTTGGGACCTTACTGTGGAGGCCTGAATGCCTGAGGGGTCCCCTGGGGAGTGTGTCTGCCTCCAGATTTCAGTCCCAGTGGGCTGTCTGTTGGGGGTGGTGCACTGGGACCAGGGCCCCCGGAGACTCAAAGGGCAGGGACTCAGTGGTCTGAGCTGCTCAGCCCGGAAGTGGGGGGCTAGCCTGGGAAACGCTGAGACCCAAAGGCCTGAGAGCTGGGCAGGGTCTTCCCCGGGGGGTGGCAGGGCAGGGACAGCCACCAGTGTCACATCAGACGGCCTGGAGCCACGTGTTTTCCTGTGTTGTGTGGCACATGCGCCCTAATGTGTGTTCCTTGTATTTACATGGGAAGGTGTGTATGAATCCATGGGCACCCGGGGCCAGTTTGTACTAGCAGGAGGCCCACGTTGGGGTGGCTGTACCTCCCTCCCCACTCCCCAGCGTCTGCTGCCATTGAGGGGGTGCTGAGGTCCTGCTGTGCACCATGCGAGGGGCTCAGGTGGGCAAAAGCCATGGCATTCTCCTTGGGCTTCTGAAGCCTGAGGGCACAGTGCCAGCTGGGGAGCTGGCAGTCAGGGGGCTGGGGGGAACGCTAAAGGGGCTGGCCCACATCGAGGCGCACTTGGACCCTGGCCCTGCCACCGAGAGCTGGGGTGCTCTGACCTGTGGGTCGGCCCTGACCCTCCCTCCTTCCAGAATGGAGCTGACTTCGTAACCTCTGCTCCAGATGTGGTGGAGGTGTGAGTCTTCTCTGTCCAGGGGTGGTGTCAGGTGCCAGACAGTGGCCTCCTACCTCGTGGGACCCAGGGAGGGCTAAGTGTCCAGTGCCTGCACTTGGTGTCTCAATAAAGAACATTTCTTCACTCTGTCTGGTGTGGCTCAGTGGATAGAGCGTCAGCCTGTGGACTGAGGGGCCCCAGGTTCGTTCCAGTTGGGGATCTTGCTCGGGGCTGGCTGGAGTGGGGGACATAGCTTTCCTTCCTGTTAAGGGGAGAGAGGGTCACTTCACTCTCTGGCCACAACGGAGCTACTGTAGCTCAGGTGGGGGTGGGCCTGCTCCCCCATGGGGGGTCAGGCAGGGTGTCCCCAGGACGGACATTCTGTGCCCTTGCTCTGGGCCTTGGGGCTGGGGACCACCTGGGAGTTGAACCTTCAGGGGCCTGGGCAGTGTGGCTCTGGGCTTCAGGTCCCAGGGAATCCCTGGAGACCAAGTGGTGCCAAGACCTGTGCGTGGGGTCGGGGGAGGTGGGGAGGGATGGCAGCAGAACCAGGGCATGCCTCACCTGGGGGTCTGGTCCTAATGAGAACCCCCCTGGGCCCCTGGGCTCCACTGCAGGGAGTCAGGGGCAGCTCAGGGCTTCCTGGAGGAGACAGGGGAGCCTCAGGCGCCCAGGGCATGAAGGGCACGGGGTGCAGGTGGCTGCGGCTTAGGGGCCCCAGGCTGCCCCCACGGACTGTCTCCAGGCCCCGAGGGCTCAGCATCCCCCGCAGGCAGGCACCCCAGGTGTAAAGCTGCTCTGGCTGGCCCGGCCGCTGAGCTGCTGATTCATGGTGGCGGGGCAGGGAGGACGGGTGGGGGCCGGGGATCCTGTTACCCCCTCCCTCGCAGCCCTGGCTCACCGGGCCGGGGGCTCTGCCCTTCACAACCTGTCTGGCCCAGGACGGGGTCTGACTCCTGAAAGGATGATGCCCCCACCGAGGGGAGCAAGGGGGTGCTGAGAGCTGGAGTGGGTCAGCACACCTTCCGGAGAGAGAGGAGCAGCCCAGGCAGGGCCCTGACGGACAAAGAGGAGGGAGGGAGCTGGACAGGGGCTGCACAGGGGGTGGCCAGGAGGAAGGGCTTGCAAATGCATGGAGCAGGCCCCCCAGATGCCAAGGGAGGGGAGAGGGAGCTGGGGGTGCAAGGGGACCTACGGGACCACCTCTGGCTCCTGACTTGGGGAGGCCTGGGGCCAGTGGTCACAGGGAGGGGTGCTGGGGGTGCACCCTCAGTTTGGGAGACAGAACCAACTCGCCCATTCGGAAAAGGGGATGCAGACAAGACAGATGCTGGGGGGCCACACGCTGAGGAGGACGGACCAGCCGCAGGGGAAGGGGCGGGCTGGGGCCGGGAGGTGCACACAGGGCATGGACTCAGTACTCAGCTCAGGGACCTCGGGCGGGGCACCCGCGGTGGGGGCGGGTGGTGTTGGCGGAGCTGGTGGACAGTGAGCTGGCGCAGTGGGCATACAAGTCCTGCGGGCCAGGCCGGGCCCTGGGGGCCTGGTTAGGAAGGAGGAGACAGGAGCTCCTGGGGCCCCTGCTGAGATCCGGGCCGGGAGTCCAGCCTGAGTGCGGAGACGGGCCGGGGTCTCCGGCGCCGCGTCGGTTCCAGGCTGGGCCTGAGCTGCCCTTCCCCGTGTCCGCCTCTCCCCCGCCTCCCGCCTTCCCCGGCCGCCGCCCCGGGTTTCCGGAGGGGCCAGAGCGGGAGGGCGGGCGGGGCGTCACGTGTGCGCGGCCCGGGGGCCGGTTGGTCCAGCGGCCGGGGAGGGGCGCGCGCCACCCGGGCCGGCGTCGGGCTGGGCGCTCCGGAGAGCCGGAGGGAGAACCGGGCACGGAGCGCCGGCCCGGGGAGTCCCGCCGCCCATGAGCTCCCCGCCGCCCGCCCGCAGGGGCTACTACCGCCAGGAGGTGACCAAGACCGCCTGGGAGGTGCGCGTCGTGTACCAGGACCTGCAGCCCGTGGGCTCGGGCGCTTATGGCGCGGTGTGGTGAGCGCGGCGGGCCGGGCGGGGGCCGGGGCGGGGTGTCCGGCGGGGTATCGGCCCTTCGCTGAGCTCTGCGTCCGCAGCTCGGCCGTGGACAGCCGCACGGGCGGCAAGGTGGCCATCAAGAAGCTGTACCGGCCCTTCCAGTCGGAGCTGTACGCCAAGCGCGCCTACCGCGAGCTGCGCCTCCTCAAGCACATGCGCCACGAGAACGTGAGTGCCGGCAGCCCCGCCGCCTCCGCGCCTCCTGCTCCTCCTCGTCCTGCCCCAGGCCCGCCCCTCCCACCGGCCACTGAGGCATCCCCCTTGTGGGGGCGGAGCTGATGGTCAGACAGACAGACAGACAGACTGCTCCCCCCGCCCCAGCCCTCTCCTCCGGGGCTGGCCCTGGAAAGGATGGGGACTCACCCGGGCTTCTTTCTGGGCCCACCTGGCTCTGCAGCTCAGGCCCCTGGAAGGAGGCTGGCCCGGGTGTCACCCCAAATCCTGTGCAGCTCTCCAACTGGGAGGGGCACCTCACCTCCCCGCTGCCTCCCGCCGCCCCGCCCAGGCGCCTTCTCCAGCCCTCCCTGCCTGCTCTAGTCCACCTGCTGAGCGGCCTGGGGCCCTGGGGCCCTGGGAAGGCAGAGCTGGGCTTGGAATGGGGTAATGATTGGCCCTATCACCTCAGGGCCTTGGGGTCTCAGGTGAGGGAAGGGTTTGGGGAGCTGGTGTGGGGAGGGCACTGGTCACAGTGACCAACACACAGATGCCCCATCGCGTCTCTGGCCGGGGATCATGGACAGTGGGGGAGAGGAGGATCCGGCCCCCACCAGGGAGAGGCCTCCCTTGCTTCCGGACCTGCCCACAGGACACCACCCTTGGCTGCCACGGCCTGGCTCTGCCACGGTGGCCATTGCCAGCTGCCGGCCAGGGAGCTCCCACAGACCCCCTTCTCCGCACAGACCCCTGCGACCAAGAACTCTGCCCCACCCCCAGCACCCCTGCCTCACCCCCATCTGCGCCCAGTCTGAGGGCTGGAGGTCTGGGCACCCTGACCCTGGCTCATCGTGCTCCTGACACCTGGTCTGGCCCCTCCTGGGTCATGGGAGCCACCAGCCTCCCCTCAGGAAAGGGGTCCCCAGGAAACTGGCCCCCCCTTCCCAGGTGAAATCTGTTCATGGTGGATGTCAGCCCAGCCTGGGCCTCACTGTCTCCCCGTCACACCTGGGCACGCCCGGGCCTTGTCTCCCCGACGCCCCCCACAAGGGCAGACTCTTCTACCCAAGGCTTCATCCGACTTCTCCCTCATCGCCCCCACTCCCACCCACCCATCCTACCCTGGCAGGACCCCCCTCAGGCCTGCTCCCCCTGGACCTGTGCTGCCCCCTCCCCCAGTGCCAGCGGGTCCTCCATGCCCCTCACTCGGCCCCACCAGCAGGTAGGCGCTGCAGCCTCCAGGGGCACACAGCACACAAGCCAGGAGCTCGGCCTGTGGTGGACCCTCCCTGGGGGGTGGGGGACTAGTTCTCAGAGGCCGAGTGCAGCGGCAGGTGGAGGAGTTGCCACCCACGCCCACCCTGCTCTGCCCCTCCGCCCCACTTCTGTCTCCTCCCCGTCCAACCCCCCACTCTGGCTCCATCCACACCTCAGAGGCACAGACATCTCCATTTCCTTCAGCCTGACGGCCCCCTGACCTCCAGGACTCTGTCCTTTTCTTGCTCAAACACTCTCCCGGTCTCCCTGGGCCTCACCTGCCCCCAGACCTCTCTTTGGGCACCCCCTCCCCTGCCATGACTCTGGTCCTGGAGGCCGCAGTGGTCGCCTAGCTGTCCCTTCACCTCGTGTCCTCGCCTCACTCCGGTCTGTCCCTGCAGTCCGTGTCACGCCTGTCTGAACCCTTCCTTGTCGGCTCTGGGATCGAAGCCAAGGCTTCACCCGGCACGCGAGGGCCCGCTCAGGCTCCTCCGGCCTCTGCCTGGCTGCTCCCGGCCTGGGCCTCGGCCACCTGGCCTCCCTCCCCGTGTTCCTCAAGTGCTCGAAGGCTTCTCGTCTCCTCCGCCTCCATTCCCATGGCCTCTGCCAGGTGTGGCCTCTGCCAGGCCCGTCCACCTTCTCAGACGTGCAGGCTTCCCTGAGCCCCTGGAGGCCACCCTGAGTCCGGGGGCCAGTTGTCCCAGTCCCTCCTGCTCCCATCACCCCGGCGCGTCTGCAGGGCTGGCTCTGCCTGCTGGTTTGGCCCCGGCGCTGCCTGCTGGGGCCTCCAGCAGAGCCCAGCCCTGGGCAGTACCTGCCGGATGCCGGATGCCGGATGCCGGCTCTCCCCAGGGAGGCGGTCCCCATCCTCGTCCCAGGTTTTCAATGGACAGGAAGGGCCCGGGAGCGGGAGCTCCTTGGATGGCCGGCGCTGATCCAGGCTGGGGCTGCCCCTCCCCCACAGGATCCCAGCTGTCACGGTCCCAAAATAGCCTGCATCTGTGGGCAGGTGTGCCAGGGCTGGGTGGCACTGCCAGTGGGCAGAGCTTGCCCTGTGGACCGTGGGGGGAGATGGGGACAGCTGTAGGGGACTTTCCTGCCCGGAGCCTGGTGCCAGCCTTCGGGGGGGCTGGGGGGGGGGCGGGTGCCCCATCCCACCTGGCACTCCGCTGCCTCCCCAGGTGATCGGGCTGCTGGACGTGTTCACTCCAGATGAGACCCTGGATGACTTCACAGACTTGTGAGTTCCGGTCTGGGCCGGCCGGGCAGGGTGGAGGGGTGCGGGGTCACTCCTGGGCGCCAACTTCGGATTCTGGGTTGGTGTGGGTACCCGCTGAAGGCAGGTCTCTCCCTATAGCCTGGAAAGGGTGGGGGTGCACACTGCCCACCCCGTCTTCACACCACAGTCCCCTTCCCTGGGACCCACAACCCGGGCACGGCCAGGTGGGACCTGGGCCTCCGCTCCCCACTGCCATGGGCACCAGGCTGTCTCCAGTGCGGGAGGTGCGAGCCTTGGGCCCGAGCATTCGTTAACTGGCAGGTCCTGGCCCCTGGGCCCTGGCACTGAGTGCGTGGCCATAACTGAAGCTGCTGACCTTTTCGGGAGGGGAGGGGCGGGGCGGGGCGGCATGGTGCCTGCCCTGTGGCTGCCTGGGCACCATCCCCTGGGCTCACACTGCTGTCGGCCAGGAGCCAGGGGCCTGGCCCGGGAAGGGCTGGGAGGACCGCTCCCTGCCGCCTGACCTTGCGGAGGTCAAGGACCCGCACTGGCCAGGAGTCAATGCCTCGCTCCGCCTCCCTCCACCTCCCCTGTGCGATATCCCTCGGACCCCAGTGTCCTGCTTTCCCGCCACGCCCGCAGGCCCTCCCTCCCCTGCCTGTGGGCACTGGGTCCCCAGCCCCTCGCCTGGCACAGTCCCTGCCCCCATGACATTCTGAGGTGGGGGAGCGGGTAGGTGCTTGGAGGTCGGGGCCTGGGGTCTTCCTGGGTCTGAGCCTGTCCCGACCCGCAGTTACCTGGTCATGCCGTTCATGGGCACGGACCTGGGCAAGCTCATGAAGCACGAGACACTGAGCGAGGACCGCATCCAGTTCCTCGTCTACCAGATGCTGAAGGGGCTGAAGGTGAGGGCCTGCGGGGCGAAGGCGGGCCGTCCCCTGGCCGGTCCGAGGCTGTGAGGGCCCGTGAGCCCACACGGCTGACCCTGACCCTCTCTCTGTCCCCACAGTATATCCACGCGGCCGGCGTCATTCACAGGGTGAGTCCTGGGGGTGGAGGGAGCTTCCCTGCTCTGGGCATTCGAGGGGCTCAACCCCTAGGAGCCTGTTTCCCACCTGTGGGGGCACGAAGGGGTCCAGAGGGTGTCACACCGTCTGCACACAGCCCGGGGCCTGGGCACCTCCACCCTCCCCAGTGTGTCTGCTCCCAGGCTCTGCCGCTGCCCCGGCTCCTGCCCTTGCAACCCTGCTGGTGGGCGACACAGCCACCTTTTGTCCACCCCCAGGACCTGAAGCCCGGCAACCTGGCAGTGAACGAGGACTGTGAGCTGAAGGTGTGTGTGGGGTTGGGGCTCAGGCTCCCTCCCACCTGCCCATCTGCCTGCCACGCCCTCGGTCCCCAGACCAGGAGGAAGGCTGGCCCCGCCCAGGCAGAGGGCTCAGCCGTGAGGCAGTGGCCAAGCAGCTGATGGCCAGATGGGCCTGGGGAGGCACCTGATGGGGGTGGCATTGGGCACACTCTGCTTGAGGTGGGGGGGGGGGCAGGTAGTGGTCCCTCCTTCCTGAGCTTGGGCAGGACCTAAGAGACCTTCCCAGCCCAGCTGGAGTGGCTCAGTGGTTAGAAGGTCGCGGTTCGATTCCAGGTCAGGGCATATCCTTGGGTTGCAGGCTCCATCCCCAGTGTCGGGGCGCGTGGTTCTCTCTCATCATTGATGTCTCTGTCCCTCTCCTTTCTTCTCTCTGAAATCAATTTTTAAAAATTAAAAAAAAAAGACCTTCCCAAAGGTGCTGGCTAGGATCTAGGGCAGTGATGGCGAACCTTTTGAGCTCGGCGTGCCAGCATTTTGAAAAACCCTAACTTAACTCTGGTGCCGTGTCACATATAGACATTTTTTGATATTTGCAACCAGAGTAAAACAAAGACTTATATTTTTGATATCTATTTTATATATTTAAATGCCATTTAACAAAGAAAAATCAACCAAAAAAATGAGTTCGCGTGTCATAGGTTCGCCATCACTGATGTAGGGGATGGGGAATGAGGAGCAGGGAGGGAGGCACCAGGGCGCCTGGTCCTGAGGGTGGGCGGGGTGCACCGGCCATGGGGAGGAGCCAGTGTCCCCAGCCGCTTGGGGCCCCCTGGCCCACAGGCTGGCCCACTCACTCCCCAGGGGCCCCTTTGCCCCCCCTTCCTGATTCTGGCTGCAGATCCTGGACTTCGGCCTGGCCAGGCAGGCCGACAGCGAGATGACTGGATACGTGGTGACGCGGTGGTACCGGGCGCCCGAGGTCATCTTGAACTGGATGCACTACACACAGACAGGTGAGAGGCTCCAGAGACGGGGCCACTGCCTGCCTCCACCTCCCGACTGGACTCCCCCCTACACTCCCCCCCCACTGCCCATGGCTGCTGAGCTGGGATGGACCAGGAGGGTGTGGCCGGCCAGACGCGGGTGCCCATGTCCCCCACTGTGCATCCCTCCCCCACCCCGGCCCACAGCCCTGATGAGGGGGCTTCTCCCTCAGTGGACATCTGGTCTGTGGGCTGCATCATGGCGGAGATGATCACAGGGAAGACGCTGTTCAAGGGCAATGACCGTATCCTACACCTGTGGGGCCAGGTGGGCGGGAGGGGGCGGGGGACGGGCTGGGCACTGTCCCGCTGTGGGCGGGGGTGGGGGCCCTGCTCTCTGGCCCACGCAGTGCTCCTGAGCTCGGCCGAGACCTGGACCAGCTGAAGGAGATCTTGAAGGTGACGGGCACGCCACCCGATGAGTTTGTCCAGAGGCTGCAGAGCACGGATGTCAGTGGGGAGGTGGGCGGGGCCGGGGGTCTGGGGGGGTGGCCCGGGAGCTGGCCCCTCACCCTTCCCGCCCACACAGGCGAAGAACTACATGAAGGGCCTCCCCGAGTTGGAGAAGAAGGATTTTGCCTCCATTCTGACCAATGCAAGCCCTCTGGGTAGGGCGGGACTTGGGGAGCGAGGGGTCAGTGACCTGGGCCGCGCGTGGGGCCCTCCCTGCCCAGCCTGACCCGCCCTCCCCCCAGCGGTGAACCTCCTGGAGAAAATGCTGGTGCTGGACGCAGAGCAGCGGGTGACGGCGGCCGAGGCCCTGACCCACCCGTACTTCGAGTCGCTGCACGACGCGGAGGAGGAGCCCCAGGCCCAGAAGTACGACGCGTCCTTTGATGACGTGGACCGCACCCTGGACGAGTGGAAGCGTGAGTGGCGGGCTCTGGGCAGGGCCTGAGGCGGCACCCCGTGAGCCCCATGCAGGTTGCTGGGGCTCAGAGTCCTGGGTTCGCCAGGTAGGTAAGGAACACAGCAGGAGGTCAGAGGGCAGTGGGGCGTCCTGGCCAAGGTGAACTCTGGCTGAAGCCGAAGGACTGAGGGAGGCTGGGGACTCCTGCCTCGGCTCGGCCCCCACGGGAGCGTGGACGTCACACGCAGCTCCCAGCTCGGGCAGAGTGAGCACTTCCCTCTCCCAGTCCCGCCTCCCGGCCACAGACCCGGGCCACCCGGAGCCCCTTCACACCCACTTGTCTCCAGGCCTCTGCACATCTCTCATTTTTCTTTTAATATGTGTATGGATTTCAGAGAGGAAGGGAGAGGGAGAGAGAGAGAGAAACCTCAATGATGAAAGAGAATCATCTATCGGCTGCCTCCCGCACTCCCCCTGCTGGGCATCAAGCCCCCAACCATGACCTCCTGGTTCACAGGTTGATGCTCAACCACTGAGCCACACTGGCCGGGCTGCTCACGCCCTTTGAACTTGCCTCTCCTTGCCCCTTTCACGACCCCTTTCACCTGAATAACTGCATGCCCTTCATTTCCTGCCAGTGGGATAAGACCACCCCAGCCAGCCCACAGTACCTCACCCCTACTTGCCTGTCCCCTACAGCCCCTCGGAGCAGTTCCGACCACCCCCCGCCACCCAGAGCTGCTCCGCACCTTCAGGCTTTGGGCTGGTCACCCCTTACACCAAGGGCCCTTCCCCTCATTTCTGAGGGTCAAGCTAGACCTGCTCGGCCTCAAGCTGGGTTCCAGGATGCCTGCCCAGTCAGTCCCAGGCCTCGCTCTGCTGTGGTCCTGATGCCCATGCCAGAACTGGCCTTGTCCGTCTGCGCTGCAGAAGGGTGGCCACAGGGGCTGGGTGTGGTGTTTTGTGGTGGTTGCAGGACCAGCCTGGGGGTGCAGGGATGTGTGAGAGCAGTGTTAGCCCTACTGCAGCCATGGTTCACGGCTGCCACTGTGTTCTACGCCCCATCCTGCCTTTGCGTCGGACCCAGGGCCTTAGTCCTGCATTAGGGGGCAGGGGTGGGGCTTGATGGGTTGCGGTTCCCAAACTATGTTCCTCAGGACCCCTGGGTTCCTTGGTGCCTCCAGTAGGGACTCCACCCTTGTCTGTGCTGTGTTTTGTGCTTATATGTTGGATTTGGTGAAAGTTTTCTGTTGCTAAAAAAAGATCTGAAAACCGCCAGCAGCTGGATCCTCTCTGTGGTCCCCGCCCACACAAACCATGAGAGTTCTGCTTCAGACCATGGTGGACACGTGGCCTTTTTTGTGGCCGAGTCCCGGGTCAGGACACAAACCCTCAGCACTTCCTGTTTCCCTGGGGAAAAAAGCCAGTTCAGCAGCAGTGGCCTCTTCACAGACCTTCCCGGTGTGGACAGCCCCTGCCTCAGGAGGCGAGGGGATACACCCACAGGCCACCTGCTGGGGGCAGTGTGTCCTGAGTGGGGCTTGTGGCGTGCCCGTGTCCCCCGAACTGGCACCCCGCCAGCCAGGGGAGAGGGAAAGGCTGGGGCAGGCTGAGCAGAACCTGTCCACCTGCAGACTGGCCAGAGAGGAGCAGAGCAGGCCCTCCACCTGCCTTTGTCTTTTTTTCCTTCCCACCTCGCCTTTGGATGGCTCACGGCAGGCACACAGTTCAGGGGACACGACCACCTGGTGAGGCTAGTGGAGGGACTCCCTCTCATTTAAGCCTAAGTAGGTGCACTTGCTCCAGAGACTCGGGGTGTCGGTGGGACCCCGAGCAGCTCCTCGCCTGACGGGACGTAGGTTTGCATTCCTAGGACGGCTCTGTCCGCAGAGGCAGGCTGTGGGGCCAGAGCCCGCCCGCCACCAGGGCCAGGGGCTTTGAGTTCCGGGAGCCCCGTCAGGGTGGATAGTCACTGTGGACAAACTCGGGTGGCCTGACAGTGGCTGTGGCCTGGGACGGAGTCCTGGGTATGGGACAGAGAAGCCCACCTGGCCCCTACACCCCAGCCGTGACTTGTGACCCTGAGGTTTGGGGGCATTGGTGCCCTGGGCAGTGGTCTGGGCCTGGGAGGTCGCCCACCCCACCCTGCGTGGACTCTCTTTGGACTCATTGCTGCTCCGAGTGAGCCCCGCGGGCTGGGCCCAGCACTGATCCTGGGTCGCTGGTGTCCGAAGGGGCGTGGACTGTGGGGGTTGATTCCTTTTATCTGTTATTTGTGCGTGTGTGTGTGTGTGCTAATTCTGACGGGTGATTGGGCTCCTTCTCCCGTGACTCTCCATCTCTCTCGCTCTCACCCCACCCCAGGTGACACGTATAGAGAGGTGCTCAGCTTCAGGCCTCCCCGGCAGCTGGGGGCCAAGTCCTCCAAGGAGACGGCCCTGTGAAGACCCTGGGCCCTGAGGGGGTGGTGGGACGTCTTGGGGACCCTGGCTGGCACTTCCACCTGGGAGTGGGGAGCCCTGTGACCTTGGCTGGAGCTTGCACCCCAGGAGACTCCTCATTCCATGCACTCCATCCCCCAAGCCCGTGGCCCCGCTCCCAGGCCCCCAGCTCAGCCTGACCTTGGAGGGGCATGTGGACTGGCTGCACAGGGCACCCTCCTGACCTGGGGCTGGCCTCCGCAGTGGTCCCCTGAGCAGGGTGCAGCAGGAAGCCGCAGAGCCTTGGGGGTGGGTGGGGTGGGGTGGGGTGGGGTGGGGAGGGCCCTGCTTGGGGAAGCTGAGGCCCAGCTCCCGGGAGAGGAAGGACAGGAAGGGCGCAGGCGCTGACTCAGGGACAATCTTGCACGCCCAGCTGGAATGTGCACTGTCCTTGTGGTGCCCACACGGCTGGGAGGAAATAAACCCTTTTGTAGAGTTCCCACTGTGGCTTCACTTCCTGATTCTTGGCTGGACCCCCACCTCCCGGCCTCGGCCTCGGAGTGCCGCCTGGCAGAGGAAGGAGGCCAGCCCCGCAGCCTCAGCCCCTGCTTCCCGGGTCACAGGGCTGGTGCCCACTTCCCCTGTTCTGTGCCAGGGCGCCCCGAGCCTAGAGCCCCCACCCTAGGGCTTGTTCTCCCTTTCGGGGTGACCTTTTTCCAATGGCTGGGACTCCGGAGCCCGACCTTGGGGCAGAGCCTGATGGGAGTGGGGGCTGTGGTTAGGGTCCAGCCTGGGGCCGAGCCCCAGCTGCTGAGCTCCCCGCGCTCCCCACGGCCGGGTTCCCAGGGAGGAACTCGCCGAGGCGCCCGCCCGAGTCTCAGGAGAGCGTGGGCCCCTCCCGCCCCTCCCACGGCCGCATGCCAGCGCCGAGCCCGTGGCGCCCTCTGCCGGCCACACCGCTGCGAGCGCTGCCTCCGGACCAGGAGCCCCTAGCGCTCCTGGCTCCCTGGCTCCCCCACCCGTCCGTCCGCGGAGCAGGCGTCCCCAAAGCTGGCACGGCCGTTCTCCCCGGTCTCCGAGCCTGGAGTCGGGCTGGGCGCACGCGCACTGGGTCCCGCCAAATACGGCCGTTTGCGTTGCCACAGTGGCCCCCGGCCCCTCATCAGAGGCCCTCCGCGCCTTTGGGACCCTCTCCCGTCAGGACCCTCCTCTCCCGAATCCAAACAGGGTCTTCCAGGCCCACCGTGCCCTGTGGCCACATGTCGCCGGGTGGCCAATCAGAGCACGCCATTCCCTGGCCGCGGTCATTGGCGGGCGCCTGACCCCACGTGACCCAATTGGAGTCTCTCCCGAGCCCCTGCAATGACGGGGCAACTAAGGAGCAGGACTGGGGGCCGTCCAGCTCCAGGGCCCCACCGCCCAGATCCCCGCCCCGCCGCAGGGCCCCGCCCACGCCTCGCCCTCTAGAGACCCGCCTCCAGGGCCCCGCCCACGTCCCCTCTTCCTGGAGACCCGCCCCATGACCACGCCCCCAGACAACCGCCCCGTGGCCCCGCCCACGCCTGCCACCTAGAGACCCGTCCCATGACCACGCCCCTAGACACCCGCCCCCGTGGCCACACCCACCACTCACCTCCTAGAGGCCAGGGCCCCGCCCACCCCTCACCTCCTAGATACCAGGGCCACACCCACGCCTCGCCTCCTAGAGACCCGCTCCCTGACCACGCCCCTAGACACCCGCCCCTTGGCCCCGCCCACGCCTCACCTCCTAGAGACCCGCCCCCAGAACCCTGACCCATGACCACGCCCCCAGACACCCGCCCCTGGGCCACGCCCACCTCTCCTCCTGGAGACCCGCCCCAGGGCCCAGTCCAGAGCTCCTGGGTTTCAGGCCCGCAGCTCGCGGTGGCTTCCTCTCCGGCCGTCGTGCTCTGTGGCTGTGCCCGTGCCTCCGCCCTTGCTGCCCTCATCCATCGCTCAATCCCTCATCCGTCGCTCAGTCCCTCATCCGTCGCTCAGCCCCTCACCCCTCGCCCAGATCCTCCCTCTCCCTCCGCCTTTCCCGGGCCCCACCTGCCGCGTCTCGGGTCCAGCTTCCCGGCCACTGCCCTGACCTTCGACTGGTCCGCTCTTCAGCCGGGACCTTCCTGGAGCTTAAATCGGATCCTGTCACTCCCCCCACTCCCCCCCCCTTTTTTTAATGTTTTAATTGATTTTTAGAAAGAGGGAGAGAGAGAAACGTCGATGCGAGAGGAACACCCATGGGCTGCCTCCTGCGCGCCCCCTGCTGGGGATGGAGCCCCAAACCCGGCCCTGTGCCCTGACGGGGAATCCAGCCCGTGACCTCGGTGCACGGGTCCGCGCTCAATCTACTGAGCCACACCGGCTGGGCATCCCTTCTTTAAAAAATTTTTAAGTGATTTTAGAGAGAGAGGGAGAGAGAGAAACAGCCATCGGCTGCCTCCCGTAGTACCGACCAGGGATCAAATCCGCGACCTGGGTATGTGCCCAGGTGGGGAATCGAACCAGCAACCTGATGCCGCTCCAACCAACGGAGACACACCGGCCAGGGCCCTGTCGATCCTTAGACCCCGGGGGCAGCGCTGCGCACGGGGCAGCTCAGGCCGCGCCAAGCCCTCACCCCGGACGGCCTGGCTTCGGAGGCCCCGGGCTCCGCCCTCCCTCCCTCGCGCTCCTCCCAGAGCCCGGGCTGCGGGGAGGTGGGGCTGGGGCCGCCGAGACCCTGCAGGGTCCGGGCACCCTGGCCCTCGGCTCGCACCCGCGTCCCTCCCGCCTCTAGCGGGGAACCAGCCGCAGGCTGAGAGGAGGAGGCGGAGCTGGGCTGCAGCGGGAGGGGCGGGTCGGAGGAAGCCGGAAGCCAGACTCCAGGTGCCGCCCGGTCGACCCGGCTCTGGCTCCCCTCTCCCCGCCTGCAGCCCGCGGCCTCCTCCCCGCCTGGGCGCTGCGGTTCCTCCCCGCCTGCAGCCGGCAGCCCCAGCCCCAGCCCCAGCCCCGCCCGGCGTGGCGCTGCTCCCGGGGCTGCGAGGTGGGGAGGGCAGTGCAGTCACCTTCGAGTGCGGGCGGCTGGGCCCTTCCACCCGCCGCGGCCATGCGGACCGCCCTGGTGTACCACGAGGACATGACGGCGCCCCGGCTGCTGTGGGAGGAGTGAGTGTCACCTGGGCGAGGCGGGGAGCCGCGGGGAGGAGACTGGAGTCTGAGCTCTCTGTCCACAGCCCCGAGTGTGAGATCGAGCGTCCGGAGCGCCTGACCGCCGCCATGGGGCTCCTGCAGCAGCGGGGCCTGGAGCAGCGGTGCCTGCGGTTGGCGGCCGGAGAGGCCTCGGAGGCAGAGCTGGGCCTGGTGCACAGGTGGGACCCCCCCGCAGCCACACCTGGGCCCACCCAGCTGGCCAGGCCCTCGCAAGCAGTGCCTCGGCTTCACCATAGGGTGGGTGGGCAGCCCCACGGGTGCAGCCCCTCTCTCTCCCCCCCACCCCATTCCTCTGGTGACTCTGCCTTGCCTCCTTGCCCTTCTGCAGCCCAGAGTACGTGGCCCTGATGCGGGGGACTCAGGCCCTGGGCACGGAGGAGCTCCGGGCACTGTCTGGACAGTACGATGCCGTCTACTTGCATCCGGTTTGTGCCCCGGGGACCCACCCACCCACCCACCCATGCCTGTTTGCGGCTGCCCACCTGGCCGAGGTCCCTGTGTTCATGGCCGTGCCTGTGCCTTGCGTACCTGCTGCGGCTGGCACCTGGGACTGTCCTGGCCCCTTCCATTGAGCACTCGGTGCCCTGCAGCCTGGCGCAGACGTGGGCAGAGTCTGTGGGGTAGCCGGTGGGGGCTCACCTGCACCTCTGCCCCCACAGAGCACCTTCCACAGTGCTCAGCTGGCCGCCGGGGCTGGGCTGCAGCTGGTGGATGCCGTGCTGACGGGAGCTGTGCACAATGGGCTCGCCCTGGTGAGGTGAGAGCCGTCCCTCTCCCCTGGCTGCCCCCACGTGAGGGCAGAGAACAACCCCGACAGGCCCCAGGCCCCACTCTCACCCTCAGGCCTCCTGGGCACCACAGCCAGAGGGCTGCCGCCAACGGATTCTGCGTGTTTAATAATGTGGCCATCGCGGCCAGACATGCCCAGCAGAAGCACGGGCTGCACAGGTGAGTGCTGGGCCGGCCGCAGGTGGGGCGCCCCACCCAGCCCCTTCCATCTTGGGCTCCTGGCCAGGAGCGGAGGTCCTGCCCGCGGTGAGTCCCGTGCTGTGACCCCCCAGGATCCTCATTGTTGACTGGGACATCCACCACGGCCAGGGCACCCAGTACACCTTTGAGGACGACCCTAGGTGAGCTGGGGTGGGGGTGCAACCCTTCCCTGGGCCCCCACGCTTCGGGGCACATGGCCTGGCCTGGGGGAGTCCTAGCCAGGTGACAGCTGTGTGCTCCAGGGTCAGAGTTGTGTGAGGGGCTGTGGGGCTGAGGGTCACCTCTGAACTTTGACCCTGGCCGGTTATTCCCAGCGTCCTCTACTTCTCCTGGCACCGTTACGAGCACGGGCGCTTCTGGCCTTACCTGCAGGAGTCGGACGCAGTAGCTGTCGGGCAGGGGCGGGGCCGCGGCTTCACTGTCAATCTGCCCTGGAACCAGGTGCCACCCTGCACCCTCCGGGGGCCTAACCCCACCCCCCCAAACCCAGATCCCCAGCTCTATAGCTCTGGGCCTCCTGAGTGTAGTTCAGGGTGTCCTCCCAGAGTCACCCCCAGAGCCAGGCATGAGGGGTGAAGACCCCACAGCTCGCCCTTGCTGGGCCCAACTCTGACACCCGTGGCTGCAGGTGGGGATGGGAAATGCTGACTACCTGGCTGCCTTCCTGCACGTGCTGCTCCCCCTGGCTTTTGAGGTGACTATATGGGGGGTCCCCCCAACTCCATCAGAGGAGAACAGGTCCTGTGGGAGGGAGGGTCTCTCTGATGGGCCTCCCTTCACTCCCTCCCCACCCGGCCCTGCCTGCAGTTTGATCCTCAGCTGGTGCTGGTCTCGGCAGGATTTGACTCAGCGATCGGGGACCCCGAGGTGAGGGCCTGGCCTGACCTGGAGGGCTTCTGGTGCCCGGTGGCCAGGCCCCCATCATACCTGGCTCTGGTTCCAGGGGCAGATGCAGGCCACGCCAGAGTGCTTTGCCCACCTCACGCAGCTGCTGCGGGTGCTGGCCGGCGGCCGGGTCTGCGCCATGCTGGAGGTGACTGTGCGGAGCAGGGCGGGTCCAGGGACCGGAGGCCGAGGTGCAGGCGGAGGGGCCTTCTGCCCCAGTGACCTCTGCCTCCTCTCTCCTCCCAGGGCGGCTACAACCTGGAGTCGCTCTCCGAGTCCGTGTGCACGACTGTGCAGGCCCTGCTGGGGGACCCCGCCCCGCCCCTGTCAGGGCCCATGGTGCCGCATCGCAGGTGCGAGGGGCTGCAGGCGGGGAGGCTGGGGGTGCACAGCCAGGTCTCACCACGCCTGTCTCTCCCTGCAGCGCCCTGGAGTCCATCCAGAGTGTGCGGGCAGCCCAGGTCCCTCACTGGACAAGCCTCCAGCAGCAAGGTCAGTGTGGCCTGGGCCGGGTGGTGGGATTGGACCTCGGGCTTTCACTCCCGAGCCTCGGGCTGTGACTCTGACTTGCCCCCTAGACTTGGCCCCCGTCTTGAACCCCAGCAATCGCTCCCCAGAGGGGAGGCCCTCGCCTCTGCTGTCTCAGGGGCCCGAATTCAAGGCTGCGGCGGCCCAGGCCACGGTGGCGCTGAGCTCCCTCCTGGACCGGCTGCACCTCCGCCCCATGCCCCCTGTCCGCACTGTAGCTCTGGCTTCGCTGGACACTGCTCTGGTCCTGCCCCATGAAGTCCCCCATCAGGAGGGGTCAGCCCTGAAGGAGGAGGCACAGTCCTGGGCCAGGTGGGCAGCGTGGGCCTGGGGAGAGGGGTGAGGCTGTGTCCACCATGCACCCTGGTGTGACTCACCTGTGATCTGTGTCGCCCTGTGTCTGTGTCCCTCGGCTTTTCTACCACAGCCTACACGAGGCCCTGGCCGAGGACGAGGCTGCCAGTGCACTTGGGAAGGTCCTGAACCTTTTGGATAGGATCTTGGATGGGCAGGTCAGGGCACCTGGAGGGGCTGGGGTGGCTGTGGAGCTGGGGCAGGGCCCGGGACGAGGGGGGCGTGAGGGCTAGGGGGGTGCAGAACCATGTGTATGTGAGTGTTGCCTTGTGCCCAGGACCCTTCCCAGAAGAGCCCCTAGGGATAGGGTGACAGGCGCTCCTCAGTCCCCTCCTCAGTGCTCTTTGGCAGAGAGGGGAAGGCGGTGATTTCAAGTGCAGTTTTAAGCACCTTATTTCCAGAAGTGGAGCAATTTGACCTCAGAGTGTATAGATGACAGCCACGGAGATCGGGACCAAGGGAAGGGCCAGATGGGTCTGTCTGCCTGGTTTGGGGGTCGCCCTCCACTGCTGTCGCTCACCCTGCAGGTTAGCAGTGGCATCGCAGCCACCCCGGCCTCTGCTGCAGTTGCCACTCTGGATGTGGCCATTCGGTGTGGCCTTTCCCAGGGAGCTCAGAGGTGAGAGCCTCCGCTGGCTGGCCCATGGGCACCCCTGCTCTGGCTGCCACAGTGGGAGGGCTCTGGGATGGACTGCTAGTGGGGTGAGTACAGCCTGTCCTGGGACCACCTCCTTCTCCAGGCTTCTCTGTGTGGCCGTGGGACAGCTGGATCGGCCATCAGACCTGGCAGATGATGGGTATGCCCCTTGGGTTCCTGCATGGGGGTGGGTATGTCACTGTGGGTCCCCAGGAGAGATGGCTGGGTGGGCCCCGGGGGCCCTGGGAGCAAGGCCCGGAGGGTCTCCAGCACAGAGGGTCAGCACTTCCAGCACCCCCATCCCTGAACTCTCCTGCGCCTCACCTTCTGGCGTCCTGGCTCTGGAGCGTGAGTGGTGTCTCGCTCACACACACACATGTCCCTGTGACCATTCTCCCCTGAAAGGAGGAACCTGTGGCTGAACATCAGGGGCAAGGAGGCAGGCGTCCTGTCCATGTTCCACGTCTCCATGCCACTGCCCGGGGTAAGTGGTGGTGTCCCGGGGCCAGGCAGTGGCTGCTGACTGTATCATCATAAGGGCCAGGCCCCTGACCTTCACCTACCCTTCCCGGCATCCTGATGGCAGAAGGGGTGTCCCCTGGTCCCCTGGATGAGGGGATGGGGTCATGCCGCCCATCCCTCCACAGACAACTGGCGGGTTCCTGAACTTCCTCCTGGCCCTAGTGCTGCCCCTGGCCTATAGCTTCCGGCCTGACCTGGTGCTACTGGCACTGGGGCCGGACCATGGCCTGCGGGACCCCCAAGCTGCGCTCCTGGCCTCCCTGCTGCGGGCCCCAGCAGGGTGCCGAGTCTTGGCCCTTGTGGATGAGGTGAGTTGAGCAGAGGAGATGTGCTGTGGGGTAGGAATTGGGGAGAGGCCAGTGACTGGCTTTCCTCTCTGCCCTTGGCCCAGGAATCCACAACCCGGCTTGCAGGCGTCCTGGCCCAGGTGCTGCACGGAGAGGCACCCCCCAGCCTGGGCCCCTTCTGCGTGGCCTCCCCAGAGGACACGCAGGCCCTGATGCACCTGCGGGGGCAGCTAGAGCCGCAGTGGAAGATGCTGCAGGTGGCGGGTGAGGCTGGGAGCAAGGCTCAGGCCGAATGCTTGGGCCCTGGGGACCGGCTGGCTCGGAGCTCCGTGGGGAGAGGGGCTCACGTCTTGGAACTGGCATAGCCCTGCTGATCGTGCGCCTCTTTGCAGCTCCCGCTTGAGCGCTGTGACCCTGTGGCTGAAATCGGCCAGGGTGGGAGTATGTACACCCGGAAGTGACACTACAAGACAGTCCCCCGAGAGAGCCGGTGGTTAGCCATTCAGCAGCGCACCGCGGCCTGAGGCTGCTGTCCGGGCCGCCAGGCGCTGGACGCTGGCTCAGGGGACTGTGTCCACGGCAGCGACCAGGCCCCCTCCGCACCCGCCTCCACACGGAAGGCCCCGCCCAGGCTCCTCCACTCCAGTCAGTAAACAGTTAAGCGAACGTCCGCCTCCGCCTCCGTCATTGTGTCCTCCAGTCTGGCCTGTTTCCCCACCAGCCAGAACGCTGCTCCAAGCCGGGAGCGCTCTAGGATCCGCGGCCCCGCCCCCGACCGCCAGGGCCCCGCCCCTCCCCAGACCTCACTCCCGTCAGGGCCCCGCCCCCGATCGCCAGGACACGCCCTCCTCAGACCGCACTCCCGTCAGGGCCCCGCCCCCGACCGCCAGGACACGCCCTCCCCATGACGCACTTCCGGCGCGCCGGCCCCCGGCGGGTTTGCGGGACGCGCGGCGGTGACGCGCGGCGGCGGGAGTTGCGGAGGCGCGCTCCTTTCTGCGTCTGGCCCGACCCCGCGGACCCTCCCGGGCCCCGCGCCCCCTCCGCGGGCGGCGCCTCTCCCGGCCGCCCTTCTCGGGCCCGAGGGAGCGTGCGGGGCCGGAGCGTCCACCGAGTGCCGCCCGCTCGCGTCTCCGTCGTCTTGTCACGGTTCTGCGGGGCCTCCGGGTGCGTGCTGACGGGCCCCGCTCCAGCTCCAGCTCTGCGCCTCCGGCCGCGGCTGTCCGGCCCGGGGAGCCGAGCGGGGCGGGCATGGCCAGCATCACCCAGCTGTTCGACGACCTGTGCGAGGCCCTCCTGCCCGCGGCCCCGGCTCCCCTGCGCCCGCGCGGCCTGAGCCGCCGGAGGGCCAAGCAGAGCCTCAAGCGGGCGGCCTACAACGCGCTCTTCGCGCACCTCTTCCAGGAGGAGCCCCCGAGGCCGCCGCCGGGCCGCCCGCGCCTCCCGGTGAAGAACAGGGTCCTCATGCTGTCCTTCGACCTGCGGGTGGGCGGCCTGGGGCCCGAGGCCGACCGCCTGGAGGCGCTGGTGGAGAAGCTGGAAGCCGCCCCGCGCTGTCCGCTGGGGGAGGTGGGGTCGGCCCTGGACCTGCTGGTCCAGCTGGCGGGCACCGGGCCCCCGCAGGTCCTGCCCCGCCGGCGGGACCTCTTCCTGAACAACAAGCACGTGGGGAGGAACGTCCCCTACGGCGGCTACGACTGCTACGACCTGAGCGCGTTCGAGATGGACGTGCAGGCTCTGATCCGCCGGGAGGAGTACCTGTGTCAGGACACGATCCAGAAGGCGCTTCAGGTGATGGAGGCCACGCCGGGCACCGGCCTGCCCACGGCCCGGCTCTTCTCCTACGGCGACCCCGGCGGGGACAGGTTCGAGAGAGACACCCGCGTCTCGCTGTTCGGAGCCCTGGTGCACAGTCGCACCTACGACATGGACGTCCGGCTGGACTTGCCCCCCGTGCCGGACAGCGCAGACCTCTCTGGACTGGCCATCAAGGTGAGTGCCGCCCTCCTGCCTGCGGCGTCCGGGGCCTTTGGAAAGGCCTCCCTGACCGCCCTTCGGTCACGCGAAGGGAGTCCAGGCCACTTGGGGGCTGAGCTGTGGGAGGCCGGGCTGCTGCTGCTGCTGCCCACCCCTGGGCCAGGACGCCGCTGCCGGCCGCAGGCCCAAGCAGGCACGACAGGGCGTGCTGTTCAGGCGTTACTCTGCCCTCAGAGGTGCCGCTTAAAGTGCAAGAAGACGTTCAGTGCCTCGGTCACATAAGCCACGTTTCAAGGGCTCCATAGCCACATGTGGCAGACAGTGTGTGCTCGTACTGTACCTGCAGTTTCATGTGCCTTTCCCACCTGTGCCTGGGCTTTGGCATACATCACTGGGCTGTGTGTTTTGTGGTTTACGAGGGTCCCCGAAGGAAGAGACGCACTTCGTTGCTCACTCGTTCCCGTGCTACGAGACCTGTACTAGCAGGTCATTTGCAAACACGCACGACGCTGAACACTGGTTCGCATACGTCTTTCCGTCTCTGGTCTGATCTTATGCTGGTTCCCCCAAACTGGAACTTCCAGGGCGGATGTGTTTCACTGTGAGTTACATCGAGGCTGACATGTTGTGTGAAATTGGAAATTGAGAACCTTAGTAAGTTAATTTCTTAAGTTATGTAGTGGGGGCGGAAGCGCTGTGTAGTGCATACGAGCTCACGAGGAGCAGCAAACATTGTCAGGTCTTTCCTGTGTGAGTGAATGTGTGAGGTCCTGGGATTCCCATCACGGGGGAACTTGGACCCAGAGGCACAGGTGGTGCTTTCTCCTTCGACCTGGTCTCCAGGTGCCTCAGAGTGTGGATCCGTCCGAAGATGAAGGGTTCCAGTCAGCATCCAACTTGACTCCCGACTCCCAGTCTGAGCATGGCATGACCCCGGAGATCGACCCCTGGGACGCGGTGCTCACCTACGAGGCCAGCAAGCGGAGGTGCTGGGAGCAAGTCGGCTGGTACGTGCGCCTTGGCCTGCCCCCTCCGGCACGCGAGTGTGCTTTACCCAGGGAGCCCGGGTGGCTACTGGCAGAAGCCGCTGTGGCAGGACTGGGGACCGGGGAGTCTCAGTCAGCCTGGTGCACAAAATCACCTTTGTTCTGGGAGTTGAGAGACACGCTGGGGGCGGGGCAAGGACTTGCAGCTTCACGGAGGCTCCCACGGTGCTGGCCGCTCTGCAGGCCCCGCTTCCCAGCTGGAGCAGAGCTGCCTGCACCGAGCTCACGTCTTTACCACAGGGTTCCAGTCTGAGGTGTGCGGGTGCGGTCAGGGCTGGGGTGCTGACGAGGGCGCTTTCTTCTTGCCCACGTCGAGAAGGAGGGGAGCGCTGCTCTTGGGCTGGTCACTGTGGTGGCGGCAGTGTTTCCTTGGTCACCACTCAGCCGGGCCCAGGGGCCTCTGAATCTGCTTGTGCTTGTGTCTCGAAACCTCCCGGAGTGGGGACGGAGGCCCTTCCCGCAGCTTCACTTGCTGAATCATTAGAACCTGTTTCCATTTAAACCCCAGCCCCCTGGTCGGTTCCTGCCGTGGCTGTTGAGGAAGCTGTGTCCCCACCAGAAGCAGAGCTCGCTGTCCCCGCACGGCTCCTAGGCTGTCAGCTCTGCCCCTGCCCCGGGCCTCTGGCAGACCCACCAGTCTCCCTGAGGGTTGGTCTGCAGGTGCCGCCCCTTCTGGGGAAGCCGGTTCCTCCTGCCGGGCTGAGTCCTCCGTGGGGGTGAGGAGGATTTAGGTTCTTGCTTGGCTTTTCTCCCTTGGCTCTGAGTCGGGGGCGGGGGGCACAGTGGAGTGGGGATGAGCCTGCAGGAGTGGGGCAGGAGCCGTGTGCTCCCCCTGCCCTCGGAGTCGCAAGTTGGAATGTCCAGCAGCTTGGAGCCCGTGGATACTTTTTGAGTTGCTAGACCTAAACCCAAGGCTCTTTGGGGAAGAGGAGAAAAGAGCTGGTCAGGTGTTACAAGTGAGAAGAAAAGTTTCAGAAAGGCCTGTATTCCTGGCCTCTGTTTACTAAGAAATTACCTTTTCCAGTGGTTTTAAAAGATAGTTTTTTCATACTTTCCAGGAGAGGTTGTTGGTTTTCAAAGGAATATTTTTCAATGTACCGTGTCTGTGGCTGATTTTAATGATGTGACTGTGCTGGGTGAGGCAAAGCCCTTGGTGGTGCCCTGTGCCCAGTGCCCAGAGCCACACTCTCAAGACCCAGTGTGTCTGCTTTGTGCTGGCCCGGCCGGCGTGGCTCAGTGGTTGAGCGTCGGCCTATGAACCAGGAGGTCACAGTTTGATTCCCAGTCAAGGCACGTGCCCCGGTTGCGGGCTAGATCCCAGCAGACGGCGTGCAGGAGGCAGCTGATCCATGATTCCCTCTCATCATTGATGTTTCTATCTCCCTCTCCCTCTCCCTTCCTCTCTGACATAAAAAAAAAAAAAAAAAAAATCATGAGGCCGCTCTGTCCACCCTTTGTGTAATATGCACATAACTTAAACTTGCCCACTGACCGTTTTTAAGTGTACAGCTCAGTGGCATTAAATACATTCACGTTATTGTGCAGTCACCACCACCATCATCTCGAGAACTTTCCATCTTCCAAATTGAAACTCTGTCCCCATGACACACTCACTCCCATCCCTCCCCCAACCCCTGGCACCACCATCCTACCTTCTGAGCTGCCACCCCGGGGCCTCCTGTACGGGATCTGCAGGATGTGTCCTTCCTTGTCTGGCTTATCTCACTGAGTGTAGCTTCATCGGGGCCTGTGGTCGCAGGTCCGAACGCCCTTCCTTTGCAGGCTGAATACTCCCCCGTGTGTTTTAGTCCACGCACCAGTCGGTGGACAGACACTCGGGCTGCTTCCACCTTTGGGCTGTTGCGCACGTGCTGCTGTGCACACGGGCGTGTAAGCCTTGTGCTTGTTTTTAAGATCAAGCTACGGTGTGAGTGTCGGTCGTCCTGAGGACCATCGTGTGGGCCCAGTGGGTGCTGGGGTGGGACTCTGTGTGGATTGTCTGGACCCAGCGCAGCGGAGCCGAGCCCACAGAGCTGAGGGGGAGGCTGGTGGCTGGTCGGACACACACCCGCTCTGTGTTTCTCTGTGTTTCTGAGACATTGTGTCGTATTGAGTCACTTTCTCCTGCCTTTTGTTCGTGTAGTTGAGGTGCCCGTGGCTCTGTCTCCACAGCCCCCCTGGCCACAGAGAAGAGCCCTACCTCACAGAGGCGGGAAGGGACGCCTTCGACAGCTTCTGCAGGCTGTGCCGAGGGGAGCTGCAGGTGCTGGGCCGCCTCCCGCAGGCCGCGCCGCCCGCGCTGGTGCAGGAGTGCGAGCTGGTGAAGGATGTGCTGAACGTCTTGATTGGGGTCACGTCTGCCACGTTTCCCCTCTGCCAGGTAAGGGGCACTCGGTCACTGCGCCAGCACAGGGCCGGTGGCTGTCGCTGCCCGAGCACTCCACAGGGCAGGAGGAGGCGGGTGTGGGGAGCGGATGGCCTCAGCCCCAGCGCCAGGCCGGTGGGCCTGCAGCCGCTCTGCGGCAACGGCAGGGATGCATTCTCATTTCAGTCCTAAAAACTGCTCATTTATGAACGTCCTTTACAGACGGAACAAGAGTAAGATGTTCGTTGCCCTCATTCATTCTGACTGCGCGTCACAGCGATTGATTTCCGTGTGCACTGTCCTTGCATTCCTGAGATGAACCCCTTCATCGTGGCGCATCGTCTTTTTAAAAATATTTTTACTGATTTCAGAGAGGAAGGAAGAGGGAGAGAGAGAGAAACATCAGTGATGCCCTAGCCGGTTTGGCTCAGTGGATAAAGTGTTGAGCTACGGACTGAAGAGTCCCAGGTTCGATTCCGGTCAAGGGCACATGCTGGGGTTGTGGGCTTGATTCCCAGTTGGGGGCGTGCAGGAGGCAGCTGGTTAATGATTCTCTCATCATTGATGTTTCTCTCTCTCTCCCTCCCTCTTCCTTCTTCTCTGAAATCAATTAAAAAAGAAAGAAAGAAAGAAACGTCAGTGATGAGAGAGAATCATTGACTGGCTGCCTCCTGCACACCCCCTACTGGGGATCGGGCCCGCAGCCAGGGCATGTGCCCTTGGTCGGAATCGAACCCAGGATCCTTCAGTCTTCAGGCTGATGCTCTACCCACTGAGAAAACCAGCCAGGACAAGCATCGTCTTTTTAATGTGCTGCAGGATTCGGTGCCTTAGTACTTGAATGAGGACTTTGCATCTATGTTCACAGGGATTTGGCCTGTACTTTCTTTCCTGGTGATATGTTTATCTGACTTTGATTTGGGACAGTCCTGGCCCCTTAGCATTAGGGACTCTTCCCTCCTCTTCAGTTTTTGGAAGAGTTTGAGAACAGTCACATAAGTTCTTTAATTATTTGTTAGAAGCCATCTGGTCCTGGGGCTTTATTGTTTGGGGAGGTATTTTGTAGCTTTTCTTTAAATTATAGCAAAATACACCCAACATTTATCTTAATGTGTTGGGAGGTGTGCTGGTCTGGCCTGTGGATAGTGAGGTTGCTGGGGATGCCTGCGGCACCCACCGGCCTGTACTGCCGTGTGGCAGCCCCCCCCACCCCCCCACGCACCTGGCCGGGCTGTGGCTGGACGGCCCTGTCGTTCCTTGGATTTCAGGACACACCTCGGCAAGAAACTGCCGGGGACCTTCGAAGAACAACGTTGACTCTTTGCTGGTCTCGGGGCGGGGGGGGGCTCACACAGCAAGGGTCTTGGGGGAGAGAGGAGGAGGAAGGGGATTGGGGGCTCTGCCTCCATTGGGGTCGAGGGTAGGGGTGCCTCAGGTTTTGTGGGTTCACTCTTTATTGGTGAATTTAAAACATAAGGGTGGGAATTAGGGTGCAGGAAGGGAGAGCTGGGGTCGCTCAGGTGGACCGTTATCTAGGTCCCCAGGGTTCCTAAAAGGAACTTTGCCGATGGGGCTGCCTGGTCTCGTGTTTTGCTGGCAGCCTCGCTGTGCAGCTGGCATGTGCGCTCAGGGCTCAGGACGGGACTTCCCGCACAGGTGTCCCGTCAGAGGGCAAGTTAGAGTTTCCTTTTTTTCTTGAGGCAGTTTTGCAAGTTGTATATTTCCGGGAATTTGCCCATTTCATCCAGGTTATCTAATTTGTTGGCTAAGAGTTGTCGATGGTGTTTTCTTTATTTCTGTAGAATCAGTGGTATGTCCCACTGTCCTTGCTGATTCTAGCACTTTGCCTCTTCTCTCCTTTAAGTCATCTTTTTCTTAGTCCTGCTAATGGTTTGTTGACTTTGTTGACCTTTTCGAAGAAACAACTTTTGTTTTCATGGTTCTTTTTACTGTTTCCAGTCCATTTTCTTTCCCGCTGCTCTCACCTTATTTCCTTCCTTCTGCTTTGGGTTCAGTCCGCTGCTTTTTCCAGTTGCTTGCGGTGTGCAGTGCAGTTATGATGAGACGTGTTCTTGACGCAGGCGCTTGGGCTGTACGTGTCCTCGACGCGCATCGCTGCGCCCCTCGCGGTGCTGCCAGCGCCCCTCAGGCTGTCTCCCTTCTCTGGCTGCAGACAGTGAGGGGGGAGCGTGCTGGGCAGAAGCTCTGCATTGTCCATGATTCCTCTGACCTGACCCAGGAGTTGGGGTCGGCTCCGACGGCCTCTTCTGAAGCTTGTGCTCCGAGAAGGCTGCTCGCTTGCTCTTTCCGTGTGGTGTGAAGGGCGCCCTGTCTCCGCACCTCCCGCAGGTGGCCTGACATTTAAACGTGTGCTCTTCAGTGTGGCCAGGGAGTGTGCACCACTGGGTGGAGTATGCCTGGTGGCCACCTGCTTTTTGCCTTGGAACTTCCTGCTTGTGTGTCTTGCGCTCTCTGGGCAGAGCCGTGGTTGGGTGCATGGGGGGAGGGGTCTTGGACATCTGGCCTCAGTGACCCCTTCTTTGCCCTTTCCAGCCGACTCAGGCCTTCATGGTGAAGTGGGGCATCCACGTGTCGGGAACGTCCCCCGAGAGCATCAGCAGCCTCCTCTCGGAGGTGGCCGAGTGCGGGACCCACTACGCACGCCTGAGCCACTTCTCTCTGCAGCCCGTGCTGGACGCCTCCTGCAGCAAGGGCCTCGTGTTCCAGGTGGGCCTGGCCTCCTGTGAGGCGTGCAGCCTCCCCGGCCGTGTGCACAGGAGCTGGGAGAGGGCCTCAGGGCTGCCCCACCACGGAGCCCTGTCTCCTGTCACGCCTGGAACCTGACGGTCACTCTTCAAGAACAGGGGTTTCACCAGCGTCACTTTACTGGGAGCCTGGGATAGTGGGAGGCGGGTGTGGCCCACATTTGGGGGCCTGGGCAGTACCAGGCGGGGTGGTTGGGCCCAGGCTGCTGTTCCCCACCGGGTCCCTGGTGCATCTTATGCGATCAACACAGTGGATTTCCCTTATTTGGCGAGTTGAGTTCCAGGAGCTGGGGCTGGACCAGGTCTCCCTGAAAGCCTTCCAGCTGCCCCTGCGCTGGGTACAGCCCCCAGGACAGCAGTGCAGCTCCAAGGGAGGGATAGGCATCCAGCGGAGTGGGGCATTCTGGGAGCACTGACAGAAGTGCCAGGAGGAGGGCAGAGGAGGAGGGCACCAGGCCCAGTGGGGCTGGGCTGCGAGTTCCCTCATGGTTTGGTACTGCAGGGGGTAGTCGGGGTGGCAGGATGCAGTTCAGGTGTAGTTGGGCCCATGGAGAAGGGGTAGGGGTGGGGGGCAGAAGGAAGCTGCCCCAGGCAGACTGCCCCGCCATCTGGGACATGAGGGCAGGCCCGCCGTCTCCTCGCTGGTGGGGATGGACACTGGTTCTGGTGGGTCCTGCAAAGACGTGAGCTGAGCTGGGGCCATGCTGCTCAGCACGCACAGTGCCCATGTGTCCCTGAGACGCTCTCAGCGTCAGCCTGTGTGCAGTGCCTGCCCCTTTCCAGGACCCCCAGGCTCACTTCCCAGTTTCCTGGTGTGGCTGGTCCCGGCTGCAGGGACAGGATTTGCAGAGGGCTCGGTCCTAGCTTCCCGCTGGGCTGGGGTGCCTGGGTGGGACCCACAGGTGCCCATTGGGAAATGGAGCCCAGGGTGAGGGGGTGGCAGCAGAGCCCTTTCCCAGCACCAGTGACCCTTCCAGCCCCGAGCGCGGCTGTGTCTGTGTGCCCAGCCGCCCCCTCAGTCCTCTTGTCCAGCAGGCCTTCACCAGCGGCCTGAGGAGGTACCTGCAGTATTACCGGGCGTGTGTCCTCTCCACCCCGCCCACTCTGAGCCTCCTCACCATCGGCTTTCTCTTCAAGAAGCTGGGCCGGCAGCTCAGGTGAGCACAGCACAGCGGACAAGCGTGGGGGGCTGGGTGTGGCCTGGAGAACAGCCCTCCTGGTAGGTGTCTGGACAGTCCTTGCCCAGCCGAGTTCCTCAGGTGCTGGGCCTGGGTGTGTGATGCTGGCTTGACAGGGCCCTGGTGCTGGGAAAAGGCGCGGCTCCCATGGTGGGAGCTCCCGCCTGAAGGGCACTCAGGAACCAGTTAGCCAGCCCAGATGAGCGTCTGTCCGGCAGGTGCCAGCTGGAGAAGAGGGGGTGCAGGGCTGGGGGCCTGGGGAGGTGAGCTCAGTGGAGAGGAGGCCTTCCAGGCCGAGGGGAGGAGGGCGGAGGCCCCGAGGGCTGGAGACGGGCCAGTCAGGGAGGTGGGCGGGGATACTGTGCTGCACAGGGACTGCCAGGGTGGAGAGGGCGAGGGGCCTGGGCGAGGGGTCTGGGCGGGGCTTAGCATCATCTAGGCCAGAGCAGGCGGCCACCTGGTGAGGTGGTGGGAGTACAGGAGGGGCTCAGGGCAGAGCCCAGGTGCGGGAAAGGTCAGCACTCAGTGACGGGAGCCCTGGCTGAGCGGGAGGAGGGGAGGTGCATGGGGTGCCCGTGGAGGGGCCCACAGGCGCTGAGGTCTGAGATCCTTGAGGGGCAGCTGGTGTTAAAGCCAGAGGGTGAAGGTGGGCGGGAAGGGCTGGGCACATTCTGCTCACCTGCCTTCCCCCAGCCTGGGCTCTGAGCACCTGCTTTCACCTGGCCTGTCTAGGTACCTGGCTGAGCTCTGTGGTGTGGGCACCTGCGGAGGAGAGTCCCGGGCTCCTTTCCCCACTGTGAGTCGCGCGGGATCCAGGAAAGAGGGCGAGGCTGGGTGTGATTGCCGGGCTGCAGGTCCCCTTGCCGTGCGAATGCGTCAAGCCCCACCCTTGGCTGTCTCCAGGGCGTGAAGCTGCTCTCCTACCTCTACCAGGAGGCCCTGGACAACTGCAGCAACGAGCACTACCCGGTGCTGCTCTCCCTGCTCAAGACCAGCTGTGAGCCCTACACTCGGTGGGCGTGGGGCCCGGGGCGGGGCGCGGGGTGGGGTGGGGCGAGGCGCGGGGCGGGGAGGGACGGGGCGGGGAGGGGCCACACTCAGTCTCCGCAGATTCTTGAGTTGAATTCCCTTGTCCCACACTTGCTGAGTGCAGGGATGTTAGATGGGGAGGGGGCGGCATAGTCAGGGCTTGGACTGGGCTCCCTGGGCACACCCCTCCACCCCATGGCTGCCCCGCCCACCTCACTACTGGCCCGCCCACCCTGGCAGGTTCATCTATGATTGGGTGTACAGTGGGGTCTTCAGAGACGTTTATGGCGAGTTCATGATCCAGGTGAACCAGGACTACCTGGGCTTCAGAGGTAGGTGGTGGCTGGCTGCTGGGCTGGGCCTCCATGCCGCCCGGGGGGTCAGGGCGGTCCTGGATGCAGGCCAGCCGTGTGTCCCGTCCCACTCAGATAAGTCCTACTGGACCCACGGCTACGTGCTCATCTCCAAGGAGGCGGGGGACTGTGTGCCCGCCTTCCTGAAGCACATCGCTCACGACGTGTACGTCTGCGGGAAGACCATCAACCTGCTGAAGCTCTGCTGCCCTCAGGTGAGTGAGGAGGCCCCCATGCTCGCCACTCATGCTCTCCTCGCCCTGCCTCTCGTCCCTCTGGCCTCTCAGAGCTGAGGTCCAGACCTGTCCCCCGTGACAGGCCATCTGTCCTTATCTCTGGGTCAGCACGTTGGAGCTGGGACCGTGGTGACTTCTCCCTCAGGGTCCCCTGAGTTCCATGAGGGGCTCCTGCCTCCGGGCCCGTGTTCACAGATGGGAGGGAAAGCAAAGGCCTTTCTGAGGCCGAGGGGCAGGGCCCCCCCCCCCCCCCCGTCCTCGTGGGAGACGGCCCCTCGGGTGGGGAGGGGCTGCAGCTGCAGGAGGGTGGACAGGCTGGTGCAGGGAGCTGTGTCTGGGGCAGAGGCTTGGACAGAGGCCTGTGCCAACGTCCATGTGGCCAAGGCCCAGGGCGGCGGTGGGTGTGGGTGGACGAGCAGCCTATTGGAGGAATGCTGCCCGATGTCTGAGCAGTGGCAGGTGCTGGCCGGGTGGGCCTGGGGCTTCCAGGGACCAGAACTGTGTGGAGGCTGACCAGGCGCCAGTGTGGGGCCAGATGTGACCTCGGAGCCGCGGGGGATGCCATCCCCTTGGTTAAGGAGTGAACTGCCCATGTGGGTGACAAGCAGGGAAGCAGAGCTGGGTGTGCGCATGCGTCAGCTGGGCTCCCGGTGTGTCCCCTCTGTTGCAGCATTATCTCTGCTGGTCCGATGTCCCCGTGCCCCGGATCTCGGTGATTTTCTCCCTTGAGGAGCTGAAGGAGATTGAGAAGGACTGTGCAATCTACGTGGGGCGGATGGAGAGGGTGGCACGCCACAGCTCCATCAGCAAGGAGGAGAAGGTTTGAGGACCATCGCCCTGGGGGCTTCCCTCACACCCTCCTCCGCTCCAAGGGGTGCTGAGTGTGGGATGTGCACGTGGTGCTGCCCTTCGCGTTCTCTGTCCTGGGGGTGTGTCTGGGCAGGGGCTCTGTCCTCTCTTCTCCGGGAGCTGGGCCTCCATCCCTGAAGGACGTCACTCCGAGCTCCTTGGTCCCTTCCAGGGCACACACTCAGGCCTGGGGTCTCAGCCTCAGATCCCGTGCAAGACCCTGCCAGCTGCCCCGACAGGAGCCAGTCTTGTCACTGTTCAGGACGGTGGGGGGCGGGGTGCACTAGCCCTCACAGCTGGGGCTCTGTCCCTGGGGGAGTCCACCTGGGGCCTGAGCAGCCCGTTGCAGGTCCTCCAGCCCAGGGGAGGGGCAGAGAGGGGAGCTGTGGTCACCGCTGGTCTTTTCCAGGAATTACGAACGGAGATTGCTAAGCAAGAGTTAATCGTCCAGGCCCGAGAAGCGGCCTCCAGGGTCCTGAGTGCGCTGAGCGGTGCGTGTGGCTCGGGTCCCCCTCTGGGATGCTGGCGGCTGCCTGTGGGGGCTCCTCAGGACAGTGCTGTCTCCATGCAGATCGGCAGATGTCTGAGCGGATGGCCTTGGACGCCCGGAAGCGAGAGCAGTTTCAGAGGCTGAAAGAGCAGTTCGTGAAGGACCAGGAGGTGGGTGGGCTGCGGGTGCTGGGGGCGGGGGGCTTGCAGGGCCGGGATCAGCCGTTGAGGCTGCAGGTGCTGGGGGCGGGGGGCTTGCAGGGCCGGGGTCAGCCGTTGAGGCTGCGGGTGCTGGGGGCGGGGGGCTTGTAGGGCCGGGGTCAGCCGTTGAGGCTGCGGGTGCTGGGGCGGGGCTTGCAGGGCGGGGGGCTTGCAGGGCCGGGGTCAGCCGTTGAGGCTGCACGCGGGGTGTTACGCAGCGACGCCGGGCGGCCCGGCAGGAGGAGCTGGACGATGACTTCAGCTACGCCCGGGAACTCCGCGACAGGGCACGGAGGCTGCAGGCCCTGGAGGAGCAGCTGGAGAGGAAGGCGAGGTAGGGTGGCTGCGGGGGTGGCACTCGGCTGACCCTCCTTGGTGAGGGCACGGCAGGCCCTGTGACTGGTTTGATCTTGGTGATGGTCGGTTTACTTTTTATTTGGAAAACTTCCAAGTAGTTGTCTTGACTCCGAGCACCCACTTGGCCTCAGTGCTCCCGGAGGTGGACATGGGCACATTCGTGTGTCCTCAGCCTCAGAACGTCTGCTGGGTGGTGTGTGTGGGTTGGCGTCCAGGCAGATCGTGCTGGCTTGACCCTGCCTCTCGTCTGTTTAACTTCAAGCCTGTTAGCCTGACAGAGTTGGGCATTTGTCCAGCACAGCATCCGACAGTCGGTCTCTTACTGTGTCAGACTTGTCCCACCCTCAGGGTCTGAGTCCCCCAAAGCCCAGGGGAAGAACTGGGAGCAGAGTGGCCTCTCAAGGGGTTCTTTGTGGGAGGGGCTGTCCCTTCCTGCTCATGGCCTTGGTGGCCCGACCTCAGATAGTTTGTAGAGCTGAGCCCTGGAGCCAGTGATGTACGCACACGTCTGTGTGTGTGTGCGCGCGCGTGCATGTGGGTAGAAGTTACTCTCCTTCCTTCTGTGCAGCTGAGGAAGGGAAGTTGCCCCCAGAGGGCCCTTTGCCTCAGACAGTGCAGAGGCGCATTCTGGTGTTCGTTCAGCATGGGCAGAACAGCCAGCTGGTGAGGCCCCTGCAGGAGCTGTGGGGGTGCAGAGGGACCAGCTGGGGGCAGGGGAAGGTGCCAGGTGTGCAGACCACCTGCCCGGGCCTCTGTCAGGAGAACCCCCCCAAGGGGAGCAGCTGGACAGTGTGGGGTGAGTGGTGACAAGTCCTCTCTGCATGTGGCTTCAGGCAGGCGCTGGTTGACCATTATAGCAAGTTGTCTGCAGAGGCAGCTCGTCGAGAGCAGAAGGCGCTGTGGAAAGTCCAGAGGCACAGGCTGGCGAGCGCACGGGCTCGCTTTCTCTTAGAAGATCAGGAGCACATCCAGGTGTGTCATGGGCCACTCTGCCCTGGGCTCTAGGGGCTCCAGGACCCCCTGAAACTTCATGCAGACCTGCGTGCCCTTCTGGGGAAGGGATGGTAACTCCCTTCCCTTGCTCGGAGACGCGGCTGGGAAGGGGCTGTGAGGGCGGTCTGTAGGCGAGCTGCACAGCCCTGTGGTCTCAGTGCTGAGGCTCCGGGCCAGGTGGCTCGGGGCGGGGGTCAGGTCTGCTCCACCTGCACAGCTGCCCCCTCACGCCCTGGAATTGACTTTCAGGCCATGCTGAGAGACACATCTGAGGGGAGGCCCCCAGAGCCGCCGGCGGTGCTCCCGAGTGCATGCTCCCAGGTGAGGGGCAGGGCACTTCCAGGGCATGTCACGTGGGCTGTGAGCTGGGGGCCCAGGCCTGTGCTGCCCAGGGGACACAGAGGGTGCCTGTCCTGTGTCCCCACAGTCCCCAGAACGGAATTTGGGGATAGAGCTAGATAACCAGGGGACCAACGATGCTCTTGTGTTTCAGGCCTCGTCTCTGGGCCCTGGGCACCCCGATGGAGGTGGCAGCTGTGATCCTGGGTGTGCAGAGCAGCACGTGGCTGCCTGGGATGGCCCAAGCCGGCCAAGGGAGCTGACGCCACAGCCCCTTGAGCCTCCAGCACTGGGGGCCTGCAGCGGCTCAGAGCTGGGAGCAGGCCTGCAGCCAGGACAGGCCGAGGGTCCAGGGCTGTTCTCTGCAGGCCTCAGTATCCAAGATTTCCTGCCCACAGGCCAGGGTGCTGAGCAGCCTGGGGACGCTGGGGTGGCTCCTGTCTTGGAGGAGGCCCTGCAGACCATCGGCTCAGATCTGCGCGCCTCTGCTTCGTCAGCCACAGTGGGCACGGGCTGCTCGGGGCCACAGGAGTACGATTTCAGAACTGTCCTGAGGCCAGCTCTGGTCACTTCGGCCCCAGGGTCCCTCCAGACTATGGGAGGCAGCTTAGGCTGCGAGGGGCTGCAGCTGTGGGGGGACACTCACGAGTTTAGGCTTGACACCTGTGTCCCGGATGGGCAGGTGGCTCTGCCACACCCATGCCCACCCAGGAATAACCTCCCCGAGGAGGGGAGTAGCCAGGCCATGGGGCAGCCTCTTGGGCATGTGTCTGAGGGTGGTATTCTCACAGGGGGCTATGCTTCTGGAATGGCCCCCTCCCGGCCACGGTGGAATGTCCACGGACACGTGTCTGATGCCAGCATCAAGGTGGGGGAGAACGTGTGGGACGTAGCATCCTCACGGCCACGGTGGAACGTCCACGGACACGTGTCTGATGCCAGCATCAAGGTGGGGGAGAACGTGTGGGACGTAGCATCCTCACGGCCACGGTGGAACGTCCACGGACACGTGTCTGATGCCAGCATCAAGGTGGGGGAGAACATGTGGGACGTAGCATCCTCAAGGCCACGGTGGAACGTCCACGGACACGTGTCTGATGCCAGCATCAAGGTGGGGGAGAATGTGTGGGATGTGGTGCCCTCTCGGCCACGGTGGAACGTCCACGGGCATGTGTCTCAGTCCCAGGTGATGCTGGGGGCGCCCCCAAGGGAAACCCAGCCTGATACGCCCAGGCCCCTTCAGAGCCCCTCTGACCACGTGTCCCAGCCTGGCCTCAGCCTGGGAGCACAGAGCCCTACCTGGGAACATGACTCACAGCTGCTGGCAGAACCGGCCTCAGTCGGCGCCTGCACTCAGGTGGCTGGCTCTGGGGAAGAAGGTGGCCTCCAGGCCTTGCCAGGTGCCGAGGCTGGACCCAGTGATGTGGGAGATGGCACCCCTGAGCCAGGTCAGTGGGTCTGCAGAGCTGTCCTGTCGCTGGTGGTGTCTGGGTCCAGGACGGGGAGGAGGAAGGGCGAGGAGTCTGCTGTCCTGGGACTTGGGAGGTGCTGCCCCATAGCAGGCACTGGCCCCTGACTCCCCCTCCCGGCCCATTTGTGCCACTCAGGCCCAGGGAGGAGTGGGGACACCGAGGACGGCTCTTCACGTCAGCCTTCCAGCCCACAGGTCAGGGCAGAGGAGGGGGGGCTCGGGGTTGGGGGGCCACGCCTCGCCTGTCCTCTTTGGGACAAAGGGAAGTGGCATGGTCGTGACGCTGGGTTGTCTTAGGAACGTGCAGCCTCCCTGAGCAGCCCGGGCCTGGAAGAAGGGGCGGAGGAGGGGGCAGTGGCCAGGTGCCAGGGCAGGGAGCAGGCCTACCTGGCAGGCCTGGTGGAGCAGTACCGCCTGGAGCAGTACCCGGACAGCTACGAGGCCATGTGTGAGTGGGCGCATTGCGGGAGGGCGAGGGGGCGGCACCTGGAGGCCCCTGGGGTGACATCAGCTGTGCTGTCCCTGCAGCAGAGCCTAACGTCGCGCGCCTGCTGCACCACGGGCTTCCTCGGGCCTTCTCCCTCCCCGAGGACACCCGGGGCCCGCTGGGCGCGGAGGAGACCGCGGATGAGACCGCGGTGCAGCTGAGCGAGCTGCTGCCGCTGCCTGTGCTCATGGAGCACTCGGTCACTGCCCCGCTGGCCGCCCAGTGAGTGCCCCGCCCACCCCTTCCCCGCCCCCCCTCCTGGCCCCGCCTCCGCTTCCCCGCCACCTGCCTGACCCACCCCTCCCCAGCGTGTCCCTGGTGAACAAGGCGGCGGTGGACTACTTCTTCGTGGAACTGCGGCTCGAGGCGCACTTCGAGGCTCTGCGGCACTTCCTGCTGATGGAGGACGGCGAGTTCGCGCAGTCCCTGAGCGACCTGCTCTTCGAGAAGGTGAGCCCGCGTGGTGGGGCCGGGGCGGCGGCGGGACGGCCTCGGGACCTGCCTCCTCTCCTGCAGCTGGGCGCCGGGCAGACGCCCGGGGAGCTCCTCAACCCGCTGGTGCTCAACGCGGTGCTGCGCAAGGCGCTGCAGTACAGCCTGCATGGGGACTCCCCACTCGCCGCCAACCTCTCCTTCGCCCTCAAGTTCCTGCCGGAGGCCTTCGTCCCCAACGCTCCCGATGTGCTGAGCTGCCTGGAGCTCAGGTACAAGGTCAGCAGCGCTGGAAGGGTGGCTGGGCTGGGCCGGGCCGGGCCTCCAGGTGTGCTGAGTCCGCCCCCCGCAGGTTGACTGGCCCCTCAACATCGTCATCACCGAGAGCTGCCTGAGCAGGTACAGCGGCATCTTCTCCTTCCTGCTGCAGCTGAAGCTCATGATGTGGACGCTCAAGGACGTGTGTTTTCACCTCAAGCGCACAGGTGAGGCCTGCCCACGCCCACGCCCCTGCCCCTCAGCTTCCCGTGTTGGCCATGCAGCAGCTGCTCATCCCTCTGCGCAGCTCTGGTGAGCCCTGCCGCCGGCTCCGTGCAGTTCCGCCAGCTGCAGCTGTTCAAACACGAGATGCAGCACTTCGTGAAGGTCATCCAGGGCTACATCGCCAACCAGATCCTGCACGTCACCTGGTGTGAGTTCCGGGCCCGGCTGGCCACGGTGGGCGACCTCGAGGAGATCCAGCGCGCCCATGCCGAGTACCTGCACAAGGCTGTCTTTAGGTGAGGCGGGCAGAGGGGAGGCGTGGCGCCAGGGTTGCCCTGAGGCCGGGTCACCCACCGGCGGCATCGCCCTTGCCCCCCAGGGGCCTGCTGACGGAGAAGGCGGCTCCCGTCATGAACATCATCCACAGCGTCTTCAGCTTGGTCCTCAAGTTCCGCAGCCAGCTCATCTCCCAGCCCTGGGGCCCAGCCGGTGGCCCCCACGGCGCCGAGCACCCCAACTTTGCCCTCATGCAGCAATCCTACAACACCTTCAAGTACTACTCCCACTTCCTTTTCAAAGGTGAGCTATCCCCCCCTCCCCCGCCACTGGCAGGTGGGCTGCCAGCAGGCATCGGGGCAGGAGGGCAGGCAGGGCCCAACCCGCCCCCTTCTCTCCCCCCATAGTGGTGACCAAGCTGGTGAACCGAGGCTACCAGCCCCACCTGGAGGACTTCCTGCTGCGCATCAACTTCAACAGCTACTACCAGGACGCCTGAGCTGCTGCCTGGTGCAGGCGTGTGAAGGTGCCCCAGGCGGGCCCAGGTCGGCTGGGGTAGAACCACACAGATGGGCCTTGGGAGCTGCTGGTTTATTAGGGGTGGCTCCCAGAAGCAGGAGCCGGCAGCGCCGGTCCTCCCAGGCTGCCATGGGGGTTGTGGCTGCTGTGTCCTCCTGGGTCCGGTCCCTCTGCTGAGCTGTCCTTGCGTGAAGCAGCATTTTATGGGGAGCGTGCTGCTGGTGGGAGGGGGCTGGGCTGCTGAGTCGGTGTCAGACAGAGACGGGTCAGGTCCTGACTGGACGTCCCTGCCCTCATGGAGAGACGGGGTGTGGGGCTGCTCGCTGGCTGGGCACCGCCTCATGGACTCAGTGTCACTTGGGGCCTTGGGGGCCTCCCGGCCTCCAAGGCGGTTATGAGGATCACGTCACACACAGCTCCGCTGCCCAGAGCGGGGGCTTGCTGCTGTAGGAGAGGCGCCTCTCTGCTGTGCTGCCGGCCCCCTCAGGCTCAGCGGCCTCCAGGACCTCAGCGGCCTCCCCCTCCCTGTGGTACGGGGCCTCCAGCAGCTTCAGCACCCGCCGCACCTGGAGAGGAGCAAGGGGAGGTTATTGGGGACCCCTCCCTCCCTGGCCCAGCCCCTGCTGCGGGACCCAGGGAAGAGGAGGGACTGGCGGGTCCTTGCCTCCGAGAAGTCTCCATTCTCGGCAGCCTCGATGGCATTCTGCGCGATGTAGTTCCGCAGGACATACTTGGGGTTGTTGGCGTGCATGACACGCATGCGCTCAGCCTGCCAGGCGTCCTCGTCAGCGGCGCCCTCCCTGTCCTGCTCCAGCCTGGTCCTAGAACCACAAGCCCCTTGGCAGCAGCTGCAGCTCCCCACCCCCTCCATCGGGTTCCCAGAGATGGTTCCACGGCTCAGCACTCTGCCGACCTGCACGGGAGGCTGGACTCACCTGAACTCCTGCAGCCAGTCAGCCCAGCGGCCCCTGTTCCTGCTCAGCAGCTCGGCTGGGCTCAGCTGCTCCAGCCGCGCCTGCTGCTCCACGCGCTCCAGCTCCTTTGTGACGTTGGCCCGGGTGCCGATGAGCGCGAAGAGCTGCGGGTTTGACTGCGCCAGCATCAGCATCATGGAGAGCTGCCTGGGGTGGGGAGCGGCTCTGAGTGTGTCCAGGAGGCTGCAGCGCCCCACCTGGCTGTGGACCATAGCCTGGGACTGCTGCACACCTTGACGACTGTCCCAGAGGAGGGATGGCCTCACCTGCCCTGCTGCACCCCCTACAGCCTGGCTGAGGGGAGCCCAGGCCCCATGGGTGAGGTAGATACGGGCACCTGCCAGCTGGCCACCCTTGTTCAGCAGCCCCTCCCTGTGACGGGCACAGCTGCACCAAGGAGATGCTACAGACCGACTCAGGCGGACCCTGGGGTGGGCAGGGCACTGACTTCTGGGAGAAGTTCATTGCAGTCAGAGACAGGTCCTGCCAGCCAGTCCACCCTGGGTCCCGAGGCCCCGCGCTGCTGCATTAAATTCCTCTCTGATCAGCCTGCAGGCTTGTTTATTAAAATGCACAACCACGCCTCCCGTGTCTTGCCCTGAGTGTGGGTTGCACCCCAGGGACATGTGTGCTCTTTCCCAATGGGAGATGGTGCAGAAAGTAGGGCCCAGTGGAAACCTGAGGGCCACCGAGAGCAGAGCCCACCAGCCCAGGCCCTGGGCCTCCCCACCCAGTGTCAGCATCACTGTCCTTTCCTCTGACCACCACTCGTTCCTGGGAAGGGAGCAGCTGCCCGGGCCCCAGGTGTCCAGCCAACTATGTTAGCACCCAGATGTGCAGCCCTCACACGCTCTGTTCTAAATGTCTCTCCTTCTCTGGAAACAAATTCCAAGGAAGCGGGACCTGAGCACCCACCGGGGGTCCATCTGGGGCCGAAAGGCAAGCCGCAGCTCCTCCAGGGAGGCGCACTGCTCCGTCAGCGCAGTCAGGAACTCGGCCAGGCCCGGAGCCTCGGGCCCCACTGGGAAGGAGCTCAGCAGGTAGAAGGTGTTTGTGAAGTCGGCACCTGGAACATGCAGCTGTTCAGGTACAGGGAGGCGGAGGCCAGGCTCTGCTGCCCTCCTGCAGTATTACCTACGACAGACTGACCCACACCCTCCTACGGTGGGAGCCGCACTGCGTTGTCAGGCCCAGCTGTTCCTCAGCCACTACTTGACCTGACAAGTCCTCAAGGTCCCCAGCCCCAGTTTCTTCACCTGTAAAATGGGTACAATAGTGAAGGCACTGGGGTCGGCCCCTGGCCTCAGGAGCTGCAGTGTCCCCACGCCCCCAACACATGCCCAGCAGAGGGCTCAGCAGAACAGATGCCATCAGTCCTCGGACTGACCTGTCAGAACACAGTCATCGTAACTCCTAAGAAAACCTCCAGCCCTAGCCGGTTTGGCTCAGTGGATAGAGCGTTGGCTTGCAAACTGAAAGGTCCTGGGTTCGATTCTGATCAAGGGCACATGCTTGGGTTGTGGGCTCGATCCCCAGTGGGGGACTTGCAGGAGGCAGCTGATTCATGACTCTTTCATCATGGATGTTTCTATCTCCCTCTCCCTTCCTCTCTGAAATCAATAAAAAATAAAAATAAAAAACCTCCAAAACCACAAAGGAAACAAGGGAATGAATTCAGTGTGTTATCAAAGAATCAACAAAACACAAGCAGCAACGGAGAAAATGAGGGCAAATGGTGTCAGACAACAAATAGCCAATTGGCAGAAGTGCTACTTTCTCAGGAATCACAAAGTAAATGAGTTAAACTCCAATCAACAAGCAGGGATTAGCAGGATGGCGTAAAAACAGATCCAACTACACCACCATCTCTGAGATTCACTTTGGAATGAAGTTGAGAGTGAAAGGTTGGGAAATGTGTCCTGTGCAGATAACCTGTGACCCTGACGTCAGACGCAATGGGGTTTGGGAGGAGCTGTATGATGTGCTCGGGCGTGGACATGCCCCTCACACAGGGCCACACGCACACCGAGTGGGAGCTCCTGATGTGCAAGGTGAACGTCCGCCGAACTGAAGGGAGAACCAACAGTCATGTCCACGTCCAGCAATGGGTGTGGTGTCCAGATGGACGTTCAAGGACCCAGACCCCACACGCCAGTAAACACATTGGACCACAACACTGCCCGTGGGGGCCACACGCTCCCCAACAGACCACGGTGGGCCACCAGACAAGTTCTAGTACAGTGAGAAGGGCTGCTGGTATCTCCGCCAGCCACAGTGGAATGAAGCCACAAATCACAAACAGGAGGAAAATGGAAACTTCACAAATAATGTTGAAATCAGCATAACCCAAGGGCCCAACAAAGAAATCACAAGGGCAATGACAAAATACGCAGAAAGACACAGGAGCACACCATGGATGCCAACTTTAAAAGATCTCCCATCACAAAAACAGCTTGTAACTGTGTGTTCTCTAGAGTCACCGTGATCATGCTGCGTATACACACGTATCAAATGGTGGTGTGCACCTGAGTGAACATGGCATGTGTCAATCACATCAATTAAAGACCTCAAATCAATCACCTGATATCATACCTAACAAACTAGAAAAAGAACAAAGCAAGATCAGTGGGCAGAAGGGAAGGAACTAAAGATTACAGCAGAGAGAAATGAAACAGAAAAACTGAAAAGATCAACAAATCGATAAGCTTAACTACACTGACAAAGAGAAGATGCAAATAACTGAAATCAGAACCCGAAGACTAAGAGATTACAGTGAGTAATTACATGCCAGTAAATGAGATGACTATGGTGAAACTGGGCAAGTTCCTAGAAACACAAATCACAACTGACTCAAGAAGAAACAAAACCTATAGTTCTGTAACTCGTAAGGAGACATACCGAATTCCTGATCTAACACTTCCCGAAAAAGAAAAGCCCCGGACCTGACCCTTCACTGGTGAGTTCTGTCAACCACCACTCTAGCCGGTGTGGCTCAGTGGACAGAGCCAGCCTGCGGACTGAAGGGTCTTGGGTTTGCTTCCGGTCAGGGCACATGCCCAGGTTGTGGCTCGATCCCCAGTAGGGGGCGTGCAGGAGGCAGCCGATCAATGATTCTCATCATTGACGTTGCTCTCCCTCTCCCTTCCTCTCTGAAATCAATAAAAAATATATTTAAAGAATTATCACCAATCCTTCTCAAACTCTTCTGAAAAACAGGGAACTCTTCCTGATTTACTCTGTGAGGCTGGCACTGCCCTGACACCAAAGCCACAGATACTGCAAGGAAAGAAAGCGACAGGACAATGTGCCAGGACACCAGCGAAGTCCATCTATTCGAAGGGCCAGGCACCGTGAGCAGCAGGGTGTGTCCCAGGAGCGCATGGGGCTGCGACCTCCATCCCAGTGTGAGGTCAGGGGGCTGGTCTTTGGGAGGCAGTCGGGTCATGAGGGTGGGGCCTCCCAGGGGGACTCGTGTCCTTGTGAGAAGAGACACAAAGCTCCACCCTCCCTGCTCTGCCCATGAAGACCCAGAGTGGAGGCAGCACCTGTGAGTGAGCAGCGGCCTCACCAATAAGCCCCCACGCTGGCACCGCCATCTTGGCCTCCAGCCTCCAGAACGGAGACACATGGCTATGGGCTGAGGCCCGTTGGTGGCCATTTGTTCTAGTTCACACAGACTGAGGGTATGAATGAAGGCGCACAGCCACGTGGTCGTCTCAACTGACACAAAATGGTAGAAGCACCCAAACTGGAAACAGGCATGAGGACACAGTCCCGCCTGCTCTGTGGTGGTGGACAGGACGCTTCCCCTCCCTCCAGCCGGAGCTCTGGGCCAGTCCACACGACGGGCCCCCTGCTGAGTGCAGGACCGAGTGTGGGACTGGGCTGTTTTCACAGCAGCGCAAGGGCCAGCCAGCCCGCGGCATGGGCGGGTGGTGCTGAGCACAGCGGGCCGTCCGCACAGCGCAGCGGCCTCCGCCTCGGTCAGCATGGGGCCTGCAGGACCCGGTGCTCGCGATGTCAGCCAGACACACAGGGCTGTGGGATTCCACTTCTGTGAGGCCCGCAGGGTCATGGTCACGGGGACAGCGAGCAGGACGGGGGTGCCCGCGGGTCACGTGGAGTCAGTGTTCACGGGACAGTTTCACTGGGGAAGATGGACAGTTCTGGACACGGATGGTGGGGCTGGCTGCACCATAGTGGAATGTACCCAACGCCCCTAGGGTGCACACCGGGGAACAGTGAAAGGTTAGCTTCGCCTCACGTATATTTCACCGCAGAGCGCTTACCGAGCCCACGGCGGCGTGTGCACCTGCCCCACTCACCGGTCAGGTGCATGGTCTCCAGGAGCTTGGCCACCAGCGCCGCGTCCTCCTCCCGCTCAGCCTGCACGAGGCCCAGCTTCCTGCGCATCTTGCTCAGGTAGTGCCTGTGGAACTCGGCGTCATACTCCTCGGCCAGGATGGCCTTGCCCTGCTCGAGGGGCAGCTCGGGCACCAGGGCCTCGGCCAGCTTCTGCAGGTTCCACTTGCACACCTCAGGCTGCTTGCTGAACGAGTAGCGCCCGGCAGTGTCCGAGGCATTGCAGACATGGTCGGGGTCGTACCTGCCACGGGGAGAAGGTGCTGCCCATGTGGCTGCTGCTCCCCCGCCATCCCCCAGGAGTCCTGGCCCTACGGGCTTAGCTCAAGGACCCTGCAGAGTCCCCGACTTTCTCCTGCCACCGGCCCTGACGGGTCCACCTCCAGAGCAGGGAAGCAGAGTCCTGCCTGCCTCCTGGCCTTGCCCTTCAGTCATTTCAGGGCATGCCAGGGGGGAGCACCCTTTGAAAGTGCTTTTTCTCAGCTCGAAACCCTCCAGGGGACTCCATTGCTGGGAACACCGACCAGCTTGGCCCGCAGGCCCCTCCCCTGCCCAGTGACTGGGCGCTGTGGGGTGTGCCCACCTGTCCAGGAAGCCAAAGGGCCCGTAGTCGATGGTGAGCCCCACAATGCTCATGTTGTCCGTGTTGAGCACGCCGTGGCAGAAGCCGACACACTGCCACTCAGCCACCATCCGGGCCGTGCGACGTGTCACCTGGGGCAGGACGGGCCTGGTTGCTCCCTCCAGCCCCCTTCCCGCCCTTCTTCCCCTCCCAGGGGCGAGCTGTGCTCCTCCGAGGGGCCCTGGCACAGACCCTGTCATCTCGACCAGCACTCGGCCATGGGAGAACCTGAGGAGACTTCGGGAGGGCCCTGGCCCCCACACACACCATCTACTTCTATTGACTCACTGGTTTGGACTTTTACCAGAAAAATCAGGAAGCCTGACATCCCTATGACTCAGGCCCAACGGGAAGACCACGTGGAAACAAGGAAGTTACCACATCGTCAGGCAAAACCCTCCCGGGTCCAGGCACCTGTGCTGGGCCCGCCGTGCCCACGGGCTGCCCAGGAGGGAGGCTCAAATGGTCTGTGCAGCCGCCAGCCCTGCTGCTCATGCCCCAGGTCCACTGCTCGGCACCCCACGCCGTCTCGAGGACATGCTGGCCACGGGGAGAGCAGAGGCCCCACAAGACATCCCAGCGCCCTGTGTCCAGACCCTGGCCGGCAGGTGCCACCCTCCCCTGAGGCTGACTCCAAGCACTGACTGGGCAGCACAACGGATGCTCAGAGATGGCCCATGGCAGGTGTGAGCTGAGGGAGGGAGACGGTGCCACAGCAGTAGACTCGCGTGACCAGCGCAGGACGGGCCCCCAACACCTGCTTGGCCGGTGCCCACTTCTGGGGGAAAGAGGGCTGACCCAGGGCAGGCAGGCCTGGCACCTCTAGGACCCACCTCACGGAAGAAGGCAGCGTTCCTCTGCACGGAGTCGCTGGCGTGCGTGGCCTGGATTTCAGGGTAGAAAGTGCTGACCACATAGTCCAGCATCTGTACACGGATGTCGTTCCTCCCCACGCTGGGGCCCGCACGGCCCGTGTGCTCATCCTCAGCCTTAAAGATCTCAAAGGACCCGAACCTGCAGGGAGGCCCGGGTTTCCACAGGTTAACCATGACCCGTCCCCTGGGGAAAAGGAGAGAGAGGCCTGGCCCCGGACGGCCGCCGACAGCGGACACCTGGGTCCGAACCACCAACCAGTGGTACGAGCACAACAGGCTCGCTCTGGCCACACTCACAGCTCACACAGCCCGCGTGACGGGAGGCCCAGGGACGCCCCCAGCTCAACCAGGACAAGGCCCCGTGCACGTCCACCCACACCCAGGACGTGTGGTCACTGACATCTGCCGTGGGTGCTCAGGCCTGTGTCCCCTGGGCCGTGAAGGATGCCCGGAGACGTGTGGTTGTCCTGACAGATGACTGCCAGCAGCAGGCCGGCCCTACAGCCGAGTGATGGCTCACAATGCCCGTGGTGCCACCGAGGGGTCTCCCAGGGTGAGGCCAACCGTCCTGGCTCCTGCTATCCCCGGAGGACAAGAGGGCCCTCTGGGGACTGGCCTGGTGACTGCTGAGCCATCGTGGGTGCCCGGACATACACATACAGGGCTGGCTCGGCCCCACAGCCACCTCCTGACACACTGGGTTTGATGCCAGGCAGCACAGTGACATCTGGACGGACAAACAGGCTCCTATCAGAGATGGAGCCAGAGAGGAGTCCGCTGAGTGAGCGCGTGTGAGGGGCGCGGGCGTGGCAGGCCGGGAACAGCCCTTATTCATCATGACGCTGCACGTGGCCACTTTCTTGGAGGATTTCAGGCAGCTCCTGTCAGACTCTGAGGGAGTAGCCGGCTCTGTCGTGGCCTTTCCCAGACACCTGCTTGGACAGTCCCTCCTCCGCCTGGCCCTGCACCCTCTCGGATGCTGGGGCACCTGTGGACTCGCCGCCACGGCCTCTGCCATCCCATCCCTTCTGGCGGCAACAAGTGTCGGACAAGGAATCTGGGAGGGCACGACTGTCCACACCCAGGACGGGGCTCCTGACCCTGAAAACGCCCGGTACCTTCTGCCTGTGGGTCAAAGGCCTCCTTCACGGACAGCCAGCTTCCGCTGTCCTAGGGCACAGACTCCCAGTGTATCCGAGGGGCACAGGCGTGTGTCCTAGGCCCGTAACCGAGCGCACGCACAGCCCACGGGAGCCGGTACCTGAGGAAGGTGGAGGCTATTCGCAACACGACCGCGCACGGCTCGTGCTTGGGGTTGCCGTCGTAGAACACGTCGCGCACGACCGTGGACTCTGACGTGACACAGGCGCCCGCCCGCGTGGTGGGGACCCCCAGGTGGAACATGGCCTCGCTGCACAGGAACTCCCGGACGCTGGACCGCAGGACCTTGCGGCCGTCAGCCTGTCTGGAATCAAACACAGAGGTCACTGCGGTGCTGGCGGGGGCTCAGTGCAGACGCCGGGGCCAGGAACAGAGCCTGCCAACAGCCACTTAAAGACAACCCACAGCCACTCTGACATCATCACAAAATATCGTGACAAGCCCCCGTGTTGTCCCAGGTCTGGAGCCAGAGTGAGCGCTTGGCCTGGAGCTGGAGGTGAAGGGCAGCGAAGGCCCATGGACGCCCCACACGGGACCCAGCCTGCTGTCACGTCTCTCACACACACACACACACTCACACAAAACTGCAATTCTACGTTATTCGTTTTACAAAAACAATACACACACAACAGTGCTCTTTGTAGTGGGGCATGACCTCGATTCCATGTATGCTTTTGACCTTTCTTTACACTTAGCCTCTCTTATTGTTAATAGACTTTTTCCAGAACAGGTTTAGGTTCACAGCAAAACGGAGTGGAAGGTGCAGAGATTCTCATGCAGCCCCTGCAGCCCCACAGGCACCGCCTCCCCAGCAACACCCCCCCCAGATGGGGCATTTGTGCCGACGGGTGAACCTGTACCGACACAGGGGCCGCATCCCCCGGCCCAGGGTTTACATCAGCGGCCTCTGTTCTCTGGGTTTGGACAAATGTACAATGACATGTACCCACCATTGGTGTCTCAGGGTAGTTTCACTGCCCTCAAATCCTATGGCCCACCTACTCATCCCTCCCCCATCCCCTGATCGTTCTATTGCAGTGGTTCTCAACCTTCTGGCCCTTTAAATACAGTTCCTCATGTTGTGACCCAACCATAAAATTATTTTCGTTGCTACTTCGTAACTGTCATGTTGCTACTGTTATGAATTGTCATGTAAATATCTGATCTGCAGGATGGTCTTAGGCGACCCCTGTGAAAGGGCCGTTCGACCGCCAAAGGGGTCACGACCCACAGGTTGAGAACTGCTGCTCTATGGTCTCCAGTTTTGCCTTTTCCAGAGCATGAGAGTTGGAATCTGACAGAGTAGCCCTTTCAGACTGGCTGCCTGCACTTGGTCACATGCACTGGTTTCTCCGTGTCTTTCGTGGCCTCATAGCTCATTTCTTTTTCGTGCTGAATAATTCGCCACTGTCTATGGACCACAGTTTCTCTCTCCATCACCTGCGGAAGGACCCCTTGGTTCCTTCCAAGTTTTGGCAATTCTCAACCAAGCTGCCATAAGCGTGGGCATGTAGGCTTCTTCTTTATTTCAAGTCCCAGCTGTTCACTGCTGGTACATAGTAACTGACTTTTGTGTAGCAACTTTGTATCTTGTAACCTCGCTATATTGCTTAGGAGCTCGTTTTTTGGTCAGTTCTTGGAGACGCTGTGGGAAGGCGCCCTGCTGGGTCAGGCTGCCCAGATGGGACACACCCCCGCCCGCCCGGGGCAGGGCTGGCCTGCGGGGCTTGGAGGCCTGTGCCGGGGACTGTTCCCTGGAAGGCAGATCCGAGGCCTCTGTCCCTCTGGCGGGCACAGAGGCGGCTGGCGGACAGGCGGTGCGCAGCGCGGTGCGGGGCGCAGGCCCCGCTGGCATTTGGAGAAGCCTGTCTGTGCGCGCGCCTGCCAGGTCACCCAGGCTCCCTGCGCGCAAAGTCCTCGGACGGTTTGCGAGACCAGAAAACGGGCAGCTGCCAGGGCTGCAGGCTCAAAGGCCAGAGGGGACGGGCACTGGGCGAGCAGCCGGACAGGAGGCCGGGCCCAGCGCCTCGTCCCGGCCTCAGGACCTCCCCACGGGCTGTTCCTTCAAGACGCTGCTACCCACGGGTCCGCCGTCCCGGGTGACATCTCACCCCAACCCGGGGAAAGCCCGTGGGCCTGGGCCCGCCCCCCGAGGCCACCTGCGGGGGCGCCCACCTGGAGAAGGGCGTGGGGCCGGCGCCCTTGAGCTGCAGCTCCCAGCGCTCGCCGGCCGCCGAGCACACCTCGCCCAGGTACATGGCGGCGCCGTCGCCCAGCTGCCCGGCGAAGTGGCCGAATTGGTGGCCGCAGTAGCAGTGCGCGGCGGGCTCGGCGCCCGGCAGCAGCGCGTTGCCGCTGAAGAAGAGGGCGGCCTCGGCCTCGCGGGCCTCGCGGGCGGCGGCGTCGGCGGGCGGCGCGCCCAGGCCCAGCAGCGCCAGCGCGGGCTCCGACAGCGCCACGAGGCGCGGCTGCCGCAGGGGCGCGGGCCGCACGCGGCTGAAGCAGGCCCCGGGCACCAGCCGCGGTGCGGGCGCGGCGCCCTCGGGGTCCGGCGGCAGCGTCTCCACGGGCAGCGCGCGCAGGGCTCGGTTGTCGAAGTGCAGTCCCGCCAGCCAGTGGGGCGCCGGCTCCATGGCGGCGCCCGAGGTGGAGCAGGGCGCGGGCAGCGGGCGGCCCCCGAAGAGCGGCAACAGGGCGCGGGCGACCGGGAGCGAGGTCCCGAGCACGGCTTTGAGCGAGGCCATAAGTGGCGCCGCTGCGGCGGAAACCCCTCCGCCCCGACAGGAAGCCCCGCCCCGGACGCCTAGCTGCCCAATCTCCGGAGAGGCGGTGTCCGCCGCTGCGCCTGCGCGAGCCGCGCCCGCTAGAGCTTGATTCTGATTAGTCACCTCGTCCGTCGCTGCGCCTCTGCGGTTGGATCACGGAGATGCGTGGAGGCTGTGCTGTTGGTCCCGGACCAGCGCGGGTCTCCTGGCTGCGGCGGGGCTGGGGCGGGCAGAGGGGGCCGGGCGGTCCAGAGTGACTGCCGGGTGGGGGCCCTGCGGGTCTTTGGCGCCCCAGGTGCCCCTGCTTCCTCGCACAGCACTTCTCTGTGGAACGAGCGTTCCCGCTTTCTTGCTGCTGGCGATTCGGGGGACACAGGGCCAGGCCCGCGAACAGCTCATAGGTTCCAGGGGGGCGGGGCGGGCGGGCAGGGCGGGGGAGCCAGGCCGGGCCTGCAAAGGTTATGGGTCAGGGTCAGGGTTAGAGCTTAGAGTCAGGGTTATAGGTGAGCATTACGGTTAGAGTTACAGCTTAGGGTTAGGATTAGAGGTCAGGGTTAGAGCTTAGAGTCTGGGTTATAGGTGAGCATCACGATTAGGGTTAGAGCTTAGGGTTCGAGGTTAGGTTTAGGGTTAAAACTTAGGGTTAGAGGTTAAGGTTTGAAGTTAGGGTTAGAGGTTAGGGTTAGAGATTAGGGTTAGGGTTAGAGCATATGGTTAAGGTTTATGGTTAGGTTTAGAACTTAGGGTTAGAAGTTTGTGCTAGGATTATATTTAGGGTTAGGGTTAGAGCTTAGGGTTAGAGGTTAGCATTAGAGTTAGGGTTAGAGTTTAGAGTTGGTTAGAAGTTATTATGGTTAGGGCTATAGCTTAGAGTTAGGGTTAGAACTTAGGGTTATGGTTAGGGTTAGAGCAGCGGTTCTCAACCTGTGGGTCGCGACCATCGGAAAACACATATAGCATATCAGATATTTACATGACGATTCATAACAGTAGCAAAATTACAGTGATGAAGTAGCAACGAAAATAATTTTATGGTGGGGGGGTTAAAGGGTCGTGGCATTAGGAAGGTTGAGAACCACTGGGTTAGAGGTTAGGTTAAGGTTAGGGTTGAGGTTAGAACTTAGGGTTAGAGGTTAGGTTGGGTTTAGGGTTATAGTTTAGGGCTAGGGTTAGAACTTCGAGCCTGGGTTAGAGGTTAGCATTACGGTTAGTGCTATAGGTTAAGGTTAGAGTTAGGGTTAGAGTTTAGGGTTTGGGTTGGGGTTATAGCTTAGGGTTAGGGTTAGAGTTTAGGATTAGAGGTTAGGGCTAGAGTTCATGTTAGAGCTTAGGGTTAGGGTTAGGTGTTGGGTCTAGAGTTAGGGTTATAGCTTAGAGTTAGTGTTAGGTCTAGGGTTAGAGTTTAGGGTTAGAGTTTAGTGTTATGGTTAGCATTAGGTTTAGAGGTTAGGGCTAGGGTTAGGGTTAGAGCTTATGGTTAGGGTGGGGCTAGAGCAGGGGTGGGCAAACTTTTTGACTCGAGGGTCACAATGGGTTCTTAAACTGGACCGGAGGGCCGGAACAAAAGCATGGATGGAGTGTTTGTGTGAACTAATATAAATTCAAAGTAAACATCATTACATAAAAGGGTACGGTTTTTTTTTTTTTAGTTTTATTCATTTCAAATGGGCCGGATCCGGCCCGCGGGCCATAGTTTGCCCACGGCTGGGCTAGAGCTTAGGGGTAAGGGTAGGGTTAGAGCTTAGAGTCAGTGTTATAGGTTATCAGCACCGTTAGGGTTATAGTTTAGGATTAGGGTTAGTTTAGGGTTAGAGGTTAAGGCTAGGGTTAGGATTAGGGTTATCGCTTAGGGCTAGGGTTAGAGCTTAGAGTCAGGGTTATAGGTTAGTATCATGGTTAGGGTCATAGTTTAGGGTTAGGGTGAGAGCTTAGGGTTTAAGGTTAGGGCTAGAACTTAGGGATTTAGGGTTAGGGTTAGAGTTTAGAGTCAGGATTATAGGTTAGGGTTAGTGTTAAAGCTTGGGGTTAGAGTTTAGGGTTAGGCTTAGAGGTTAGGGTTAGTGTTAGGGTTAGGTTTAGAGTTTAGGGTTAGTCTTAGAAATTAGGGTTAGGATTAAAGGTTAGGGTTAGAGGTTAGGGCTAGGGATAGAGGTTAGGGGTAGGGTTAGGGTTAGGGTTAGACCTAGGGTTAGGGTTAGGGTTAGGGTTAGAGCTAGAGGTAGGATTAGGGTTAGGGTTAAAGCTAGGGTTAGGGTTTGGGTTAGAGCCAGGGCTAGAGTTAGGGTTAGGGTTAAGGGTTATAGCTTAGGGTTAGCGTTAGGGTTAGAGCTAGGGTTAGGCTTATGATTAGGGTTAGGTTTAGAGCTATGGTTAGGGTTAGCTTTAGGGTTAGAACCAAGGGTAGGGTTAGAGGTTAGTTTTAGGGTTAGGGTTGGGGTTAAGGTTCGAGCTTAGGGTTAGAGTTTAGGGTTTTGGTTTGGAGTTTAGCGTTTATGATTACTGTTAGGGTTAGAGCTAGGGTTAGTGTTAAGGTTAGAGGTTAGGGTTAGGGTTAAGGTTTAGTTTAGAGCTAGGTTTAAGGTTGGGTTAGGGTTAGGGTTAGATCTAGGCTTAGGGTTAGACCTAGTCGTTAGGCTTAGGGTTAGGATTATGGTTAGAGCTAGGGTTAGGTTTAGGGGTTAGGGTTAGTGTTAGAGTTAAGGTTTGAGTTAGGGTTAGGGTTAGAGCCAGGGTTAGGTTTAGGGGTAGGGTTAGGGTAGGGTCAGAAATTAGGGTTAGAGCTAGGATTAGGGTTATAGCTTAGGGTTAGAGGTTAGGGCTTCGGTTAGGGTAGAGCTGTGTTTAGGGTTAGGGTTAGAGTGTATGGTTAGGGTTTATGATTAGCTTTAGAACTTAGGGTTAGGGTTAGAAGTTAGGGTTAGGGTTAGAATTTAGGTTTAGAGGTTAGGGTTAGGTTTGGAGTTTAGGGTTAGAGGTTAGCATTAGAGTTAGGGTTAGAATTTAGAGTCATGGTTTGAAGTTATCATTATGGTTAGGGCCATAACTTAGGGTTAGGGTTAGAGCTTAGGGTTAAATGTTAGGGTTTAGATTAGACCTTAGCGCTAGAAGTTAGGGTTAGGGTTAGAGCTATGGTTAATATTAGGGTTAGGGTTAGATCAAGGGTTAGGGTTATAACTTAGTATTAGTCGTTAGGGTTAGAGTTAGGGTTAGGTTTAGCGCTAGGGTTATGGTGTGAGTTAGGGTTAAGGTTAGGGCTAGGGTTAGAGCAGTGGGTCTCGACCCCTTTGGGGGTCGAACGACCCTTTCACAGGGGTCACCTAAAACCATCAGAAAACACATATATAATAACATATTGTTTTTGTGATTAATTACTATGCTTTAATTATGTTTAATTTGTAACAAAGAAAATACATCCTGCATATCAGATATTTACATGATGATTCATAACAGTAGCAAAATTACAGTGATGAAGTAGCAACGAAAATAATTTTATGGTTGGGGGTCACCATAACATGAGGAACTGTATTAAAGGGTTGCAGCATTAGGAAGGTTGAGAACCACTGGGTTAGAGCTATGGTTAGGGTTATGGGTAAGGTTTGGGTTAGATCTTAGGGTTAGATTTTAGGGTTTGGGTTAGAGTTTAGGTTTATGGTTAGAGTTAGAGCTTATAGTGTTAGAGGTTAATTTATGATTAGGTTTTGAGCTTTGATTTAGAGGTTAGATTTAGGGCTTAGGGTTAGGATTAGGGTTAGAGTTTAGGGCTATGGTTAGAGCTTAGGGTTAGGGTTAGAGGTTAGGGTTAGGGTTAGAGTTAGAACTTAAGTTTAGAGGTTAGTGTTAGGATTAGAGTTTAGGTTTAGGATTAGAGTTTAGGTTTAGGGTTAGGGTTTGATTTTAGGGTTAGATCTTAGGGTTAAGGTTAGAGGTTAGCATTAAATTTTGGGTTAGAGGTTAGCTTTATGGTTAGAGTAAGAGCTTAGGGTTAGTGTTAGAGGTTAGTTTATGGTTAGGTTTAGAGCTTTGTGTTAGAGGTTAGCATTAGGGCCTAGGATTAGGGTTAGAACTTAGGGTTAGGGTTTAGGTTAGGTTAGGGTTAGAGTTGGGGTTACTTACTAAGCCGTTTGTATTCTTTGGGGCATTTCTCAAAGTCCAGAGGCCTCTACCTGCCCCTGTCTGTTTGCTGAGTCACTGTCCAGCCTCCTTGTGTATGGGTGTCACAGAGAACCCAGCACCCCGGGTAGCCTTGTCCGCTGTGCACCTCCTCCCCGAGAAGGATGAGTGTTATTTGAAAAAGTGAAACCTTATTGTTTTTCTGCTTCTCAATTTAACAGAAACTTGCATTGTAACAAATTCAAAATTTCAAACGGTGACAGTTCACAGCTACTGTCCAGTTGCTGGATGTTACGCCCACCTCGAGGCGCCCTTTGTTCCCTAAGGCTGGGTCCTGGGCGTCTTTTCTGTGGGTCCCCTTAGGGATGTTTAGGTTTCTCCCCATCTCTCCCGACCATGAACCCACTCGGTGACATCAGTGCGCAGGTGTGAGGTCTGAGGCTGAAGCTGAGCCGCGGGCCCAGCCCTCCTGCTAGCCTCAGACAGGAACCTCTCTTGGCTTTTACAAGTGACGCAGGCGCAGTATCTCCTGCCCTCCAGGCTGCAGGTCCCGGATCCTTCCAGCCGGGGGGGTCTCACCCCATCTGAGCGCTCTCTCCTGTGGCGGCTGAGGGCCAGGGGCTAGCATCCGGGAAGGCACAGTGCTCTCTGGGCGACTGGACCGGAGCCTCCTGCAGGCTCCCAATAATCCAGCAGAGGGTGGAACCTCGCTCCCGGAGACAGTACCCCCTCCCCTCGGCTCGGGACACCCACCTCAGGCGCCTTCTCCTTTGGGCGTGGCGGTCCATCAGGACCGAGGTTGAGCTGCCCCCCGGCCCTTGGTTAGACTCAGGTCTTTCCACTCCACTGTTGCAACACCCTCTCCCTAGCGTGTCCCCCGTGGACCTCCCTGCTGCCCTCCCCACTGTGGCCC